TAAAAGTTATTCCGAAAATGATCAACTTTTGCTTGTAAAAAGGAGAAAAGTATATCCACAAGTTATTGATACATTCAAGATTTATGCGTGCAATCTTTTCTGTAGAGAAAAACCAAATTGAAACATAACATACACTAAGTTTTATTTTATTATATTTTCTCGGTTAGTAAGAATGATTGTATATATATGAAGAAAAACATGCTCTGAATTTCTTCTTCTAAAATAATACGTAGTTATTCTCAAGGAAATCAATTGTGAAACTAGACCAAAAATTGAAGCATTAATATATCAATTGAAATTAGAACATATGAAAGGGCTGGCTCATCACTACAACCTATGAAGAGTGGCCCAAATTAAACGTACTTATGTTTTAGGCCCAATTCGAATAACCTTTAGTACATTGGGCTGTCTTTTGGCTAACACAAAGGAATGATAGGAGGAGATAATTCGAGTTTCTAATGAAAATTAACTCTTATAGTATATACTCTATAGTGGGTTTGTGTCCTACCTATAAAATACAAATAAATTTGTTTTGAAATGATAGGAAATTAATTCGTAACATTGCGTGAATTCCAGTTAAATTTTTATTTATTTTTTGGTACTAAAGACCATATACCATGTATGGCAAGCACTCTTTTGGATTTGAAATAATTGGGATGCATGCTCTTTCATAAGTTTGTTGCAAAAAAAAAAAAAAAAAATCATTCCACACTATTTTTTTTTTTTTTTTCGAAAGGTTAAACAAGTCGTTAATTTACACTTACTTTTATCATGCTTTGTTGTTCATAACTTCATAGCACCATACAACCTCCTACGTACATCGATCATTCCATCCCCTAACTCCTCTCTCTCTTAATCAGGATTACAATTACATGCATAATCAATAGAGAGATCACCTATTGTTCATTCTTCATTTAAATAGCTTATAACCTTATACATATGTTAAGTAGTTAGTAACTTAGTACATATTAATTAACCAAGGAATTACTTCCATAAACACATGCACTTACACACTTACATTGATAAACAAAGCAAGCTAGGTAGCAAATTCAAGCACATCAATGCCATCAACATGCATGTTTTAACTCTAGATAACTCCACACAAGTGTAGAGAAGTTTAGAATGTTCTGGCCATGCAGACTACCCATGTCACTGGACGTCTGCGTGGCTTAACCTTCCACGGTAGGGCGTGACACTAAGCTCTATTCGCCAAGAAGGAGGTGAGCCTTCGGAAGCTAGACTCTTCACAAGGAAGAACGATTCTACTTTGGTTGTGATCAAAACCGTACTCCTCTGCAGCTTTGTGTAGCAGTTGTTGGAAGATAGGGTTCTTCAAGTATGATGTGGGAACAACGAACCTTGTCATCTCACTACCTACATAGACCACGAAGTGCCCCTTTGGAGCTCTTCTTGATCTAACTTCAACATCCTCTACTTGTTTTGGCATTTAGTTAAAGAAATGAGAAAGCTGTACTAAATGCATGCAAGAGATAAAATGAGAGGCGTGAAAGACATGGCTATGTCTATATATAGGCTCGAAGAGTGCGCCTTACTTAATTATTATTATATCATGAAAGATAAGGTATGTAGAGGAATGAGCTAGCTAGCTTTGAGTGTGCATCGCAGAAGAAGATGGCCGGCCAACTAACGTGGACTAATCGAGTCCTCACACATGCATGCACAACATATGCATTTAAACACAGGCATATATATATATATATATGTAGAGAGAGAGAGAATTGACTGTATATACAAACACATGCATATAATATATATATATATATATATATATATATATATATATATCTAAGAGAGAGAGAGAAGTGTTTGACAGTATATGCAATTAATGAAGTGGCTAGTGCATTAAGCTTGGATGCACATGGTGTCAGTAACTCTGCAACAAAACCCTTCCATACCCTCTCAAAGTGGAGATATGTGTGCATCAACAAGAAGGTAACATGCATGCATGTGTCAGCTGGTAAAATGTCATTCAAATTCAATAGTTTAGTCAGATGACTACTCTTGTTGCTAAAGAGTACGGAAGCTTATATATATATATATTTAAAAGCTTTTTGAGGGCTGCAAATATGCATTCTAAGGGCTCACAGTTCCTTTGACATGTATGCTATGCATCACTTCAGGATGCAAGAGCTTAAGGGCCGTTTGATTTAGTTTTCAAAAAACAGCTCAGAAGTATTCATAAAATAAAATATTATTTTTATAAGGCACAATTCTCTGAAAATAATTTTTTTAACAGAATTTTTAGAAAACATTTTTTTGACAGATTTTGTACAATTTTTTACTTTTCAGTTCTCAAAAAATAAAAGCTATTCTCAAAAAAACAGTTTTTAAGCGTAGGATTAGGCATACAACCTTTATTAGCTTTGGTACTTAAATGTGAATTAAATTATGATATATATATATATATATTAAAAAACAAAAACAAAAAGTAAAGGATTCAAGTCTTTTAACATACCCATAAGCCCCATACTCCTATGCAGCCTAGGCTTTAGCTAGCTTCTAAGGAAGGATTGAGAAAATCTTCAACGATGAAGTGGAGGGTATGGAAGTCCTTCTCATCTAATTATCCACAACTACAAAAACAAAAATAAACCAAACCAGATCAACAAACTAAACCGAACTGGACCAATTCAAGTCGAGTTCTGTTTGGTTCCAATGGAATAGTGTTGATGCATGACCAGCAACAAATATATAAACTGGCAGTATATTATTTTCTAAAAATAGAGATACAATGATTTTGTATAACCTTTTTTTAGAAGAGCGTGCGCTACATAACATGAAAGATAATATAAGATACTACTAAGATAATATTGCATGTGGAGAGAGAGACACAGAAAGAGATCTGACCGTATGTACCATTAAGGAACTTCTTGTACTTTGGTAGCTTTGGCTGCATATGGAGTACTTCGGGAATACTTTTGATAACATTCCACAACTTACCAAAAACAAAAAAGGAGAAAATGTTGCCGGAATATAATAATATTTTTAATTTAATTTATCTATTTTTAGTTTCATATGAGCTATACGGGTCTGGCACCATTGGTTCAGTTAATTATCATTAAACAAGTAAATAAAAAGTTATAAAACTTATACATTTTTTTTTGTATAATTACTCATGTATTTTTGGTCCGAAACCATATAATAACTCTCCTATAAATGATTGTGTGTACCATACATGAAGTGTTCGAGTTGAAAGATCATCTACTACTAATTTATCATATTAGGGTTCTAATTCTAGACGCATTGTTAACTTAAGAAGGGTTAAAAATTAGATTAGTAGATGCAAGGAGTTGAAGACTGGCTTTTCAAAATTTACCGAAAGCACTAATTCACTGGACTATCGAGCTATCTGCATGCATTCTTAATTGAGACTACGTATTTATGGGTGAACTTTTTTTACAACTAGTAAAAATTAGCCATTAGAAAGAAACTTCTAAAATCAAACAAAAGTCTAATTTTGAAAACTATTTTGAGTGAAAAAAAAAAAAAAAAAAAAACTTCAAATTGTAAGGGTTCATTCAAAAATGATTATTTATTTTATTTTATTTTATTTTTCAATTGTACATTATCACATGTACAATTCATCTTTTGGTATAATTAATATAAGGTGGGCACTATCATGGAAGCATTCATCCCTCTCAAACGTTACAAACTTCAAAATTCTCATGCTAGTTATTCTCTAAGCAAAAATTTAAAAATTTTAAAAAATAATTATAATATTAAATAAAAAAAATGCCACATCCATGTGAAATTAAAATGCAATTCATATGATTACATTACTCATTATAGTCATGAAGGATGATGAATTTGTTCTATAAGAAGAAAGTTGTCCAATTTATTCACAAAAAAATTTAAATGAAAAGTGCTTTAATTTGTTTGTTGGATGGATATCAATATTTGTGATATTGGAAGAAACTGAAGAAAACAGAAAATTACAAGATAGTAAAATTTGTCGCTTTTGAATTTCTAATTGTTAGTTGTTGGAGGTTTAGACTTGGTTTGGCTTAAGTATATTTTTTACTCTCTTCAAAATTGTAAAAATAGATTTAAGACATACTCCCTTATAAGCCAACTCGTAAGAATTGACCACATATCATTAGTTTTCTTTTAAATTAGGATATTTTAAGTTTAAAAAATCAAGTGTGAACTTATTGTAAAAAAATCAGTTCAAAATATCATATCATAAAGTTATACTATCAAAGGTAATATTTTAACTTGTTGAAATGAAATATAAAAATAAAAAAAGAAAAAGAAAAAGAAAATATATAAAAGTTTGATTTGGTTAATGAATTTTGATACAAAATTTTATTTTGATTGTATAAATTTCGCACAATCTTCCTTCAATAGATTAAAGAACAATGATACGAAGACCGATAAAATAATCCCAAATAAATATCGGATCTGATGTTTTTGTCTACCTCATCTATTTAAATAGTTTTAAAAAATAATTGTTTAACACGTGGTAAGAATAACCAACCACGTCAAATTCGATACTAATTTGGTGATTCCTTTTCAATTCCTTATCATTATTCTAAATTAAATTCACGTTTTAATATTTCAATAGAGTTCATGATAGCTGTCATGAGATCAACCTCATGATAATTTTGCTCCCATAAAAAATATAAAAAATTCCGTATAAATTATTAATAATTAATTTATGTGGCTATATTGACACGAATCACAAATAAAGAAATTGTCACATGCTGTGCTGACTGCTGACCAATTCATAACTCATAAGACCTTTTAGCTGCTGTTTCACACACACAAACCCCAACTAAGGTTGAACCCCTCTAAACCAATCAAATTGGATTGGGCTTTGACATCCTCTCCAAACTTGGGCTGCTCTTGATTTTTGTTCTAAATTCATTCAACTTCAGCCCAATTGACTTGTTCAGTTCATAACTTCGTACACAAATCCTTAGTCAACTACACGTGCGTTTCACCTGCCCGAATGATTCCCAACCCGACCCATTAACCCAGTTTAACGCAGACGCTGCTCTTCCCATGGAAAAATTCCACCGATTTTCTCTCTACTTTTCTCTCTCTTCCCATGAGAGAGGGGGAACCCAGTCGTAAATTTACTCCACCATGCCATTGAAATCCCTCAATTCCTTTGTCATCACCCTGATGTTGGGTTTCGCAGTTCTCATCTTCTTCTCTGGCTTCCTCCAATTCCCATCTGCCTCCACTTCGATCCCATCCGCTAATGATTTGATTCTGTACTCTAATTCTACACCAGACCCATTTAGGGTTTTGCTGGGTGCTTTCAAGAGATGGGACTCTCAGGTGGGTTGTTCTCAGTTTAGAGAAAAACACAAAGAGTTTCTGAGAAGTGGGTCATCGTCTTCGTCCTCTTTGCAAGAGGTAGATGGTGAAGTGGATTGTAAGGAGTTGAAGATGAGCCATGTTAGTGTTTTGGTTAAAGGGTGGACTTGGATTCCTGATAATTTGGATAATTTGTATTCTTGTCGGTGTGGGTTGAGCTGTTTATGGACCAAATCTTCGGTTCTTGCTGATAAGCCTGATGCTTTGTTCTTCGAGACAACAACACCTCCACTTCAGGTTTATATTTTGTTTCATATTTTTAAATCAATTATTTATTCGGCGGTTTTTTTGAATTTGTTGATCCTGGATCTAGGGAAGGACTTAACCATAGATGAGTATTTATATACATAGGTACATGTATGCATTTGTGTTTATGGATAGTTATTTATATATTTATGGGCGTATGTTCCTATATTAATGGTAAATTTTAGTAATGATGTTCTGGTGTTCAATGAAATAAATGAGATGTTGGTGAAATGGACATTTGTTTTCATTGACTGTGGTTGTTGGGTTTTGCATATGTAAACTCTTCTTATATGTGGATCTACATGTTTATGTGAATTTGAGGGTGGGCCTTGGCACAACGGTAAGATTGCTCCATTGTGACCTGAAGATCAATGGAAACTGAAAACAGCCTCTGCATGCGGACATAAGGCCGCGTACATTTGACCTCCCCAAATCCTGCAATGGCGGGAGCCTCGTGCAATGGGCTAGCCAGTGTTTATGTGAATTTGGATGTTTCATTAATTGGAGAAATGTGTATTTGATTGAGATAAAAGGGATAGTAAGATCTCCAGTGGGAGGCTTATAATGCTGTTCCCGACCGCAACATGCTAAATTTCTTTATTGATCTTAATGCAGCCACATCATTCTAGGTATAATTGAGCTTAGATTTTTGTTGCTTCTTTTAGTTTTAGGATGGGCATATAGAAATATTTTTTTGAGGAAAATGAGATAGTGAGATCTTCAGTAGGAGACTTACCATGCTGTTCCCAACTGCAGCATATTAAATTGCTTTATTGATCTTAGTAGAGCACTAGAGCAAAAAATTGGTATAATGGAGCTTAGGATTTTTGTTGTTTCTTTTAGTTTTAGGATCCTTGCATATAGAAATATATTTTGGGTTGTCTTTGCCCTTGAACTTAGTTTCTAAATAATCAAAACTATCAAGTCAGTTTAAATGATTTTTGCATTCCTATTAATCTTACTTATTGTTCAAATAGACATATTGGTATAAGAGCAAGTTTGGGTTTCCCCAACTTCTGTGAAGTCTTTGAGCAAATTGTTGTGATGAAGATGATGATTGGAAGAACTTTTGGCCTATGAAAATGTTCAGGGATATACATTCTGATCAGCATGATGTATAATAGGAAATTCGAAATTGTTCTTTCCACCCTAAGAAATCCAATTCTATTAACCTGGTCGTCTGTATTTTGGCATCTTGGAGTTGTCTTGCCTGATGTTATCTATCCTTCTGTTTTCTTATCTTACATGAAGGCAAATCAGATATACAATTTGGGTAGTAAATGAAAGTTTAGGGGCTAACAAAGTCCTAGAAGGAAGCCGTTGGTTATGAAGATAGGGGTTGGAAAAGCATATAATACTGTTGGATGGAGACTTCTCAAAATTTTCTTGGCACATAAAGTGTTTGGTGAGATGTGGAGAAGAGTGACTAGACCTCTATTTCATCTTGGTAATTGAAGCTGTAGAGGTTCCTTCTACCCTCAAACAGGACTTGAAGAAGGAGATCTATTCAAATCCTTGGTTAGTTTTACCTTAAACTGAGAACTACAGTTGTATCACAGTGTTGATTAGGCAACATGTGCTGCTGTCTCTTCCTCATCGTATGTCAATGTCATCTTCCTATTTTGGAGTCCTCAATAGATTGCATAGCAACATTTGCTTCTGTCTCTTCATTTCTGGATAGTGTTGGGAATTTTGGTTCCTGATGTTGGTGGTTTCATTGCTGCCGAGTCTATGAACTGCTAAAATAACATCTTGGGTTGTCCTTTCAAACTACCTTTGTTTTCGTCTTAGTGTAGCCTACTTGCTTCTGAATATTGGAATTTAGAAGTTGAGAACATAAACGAAAGATTGATCCCTTTGAAGAAAACACAACATTTCTTTAGGGGATATAGTTGCCCTTATCAACTTCACCTTTGCCAACTTTCCCTATTTACTCTCTCTCTCTCTCTCTCTCTCTCTCTCTCTCATCTTTCTATGTATAAAACTGGCTGAGAGGTTAGAGAACTGCCACAGGGATTTTCTTATGGGCAGGTTGCGAGAGGAAAAGAAGGATAATTTGGGTGGAATGGCTGAAGATTTTACCTAAAGGAGGAGGTCAATATGGCCTGGCCTATTTTAGGCTTTCTTTGCCAAGTTGCCAAGGAAATTGCTAGAGAACCTGATACCTAGAGATGTAAATGAATCAAACTGTTCATGCTTGGCTCATTTAAAACTGAACTAATCTTCATTCATCTAGTAGACGTGTCAATTTCAATATCAGTTTAGAGCTTTATTTCGTAAACGAGCTGAGCCCATATATTGTGTGGCTTGGTTTGTATAAACTCTTGAACAGCCCGTACAAATTAAGCCATTGAAACTGTTTTTTTGCTTGCTTTATGTATCTGACATAAACATTGTTTCACAATGCATGGAGGATTGTTTGTAAAGATGGTTAAAAAGTAATATGCAGGGGAAGGAAACTATGGTATGGAAAGTCCCCTGCCATATTATTTACAGCTCATGGGCAGTCCACCATTAAATAAACAACATTGTGTTGGGCCACATAAGGCTATTTAATTGAGCTTTTTGATATCAAGTAATTTCTTCTATGGTCTCTAGTTAAGTTGTCTCAATTTGTTTTAGTATGTTAGAAAAATGATTCGATTGTGAAGACTGAAACATAAAGATCCTACAAGCTCAAAGATGACACTGATTATATAACTGAAACTTGTGGATGTTTCAATATTGATTGACACCAGTTCTGAGTAGATTATAATATAAATATAGAAGCAGTCACGTTTTGCGTTTCCAAAATCTCGAGTGAAAAAAGCTCATGAACTTTTAATCTGCACTCCAGTACTGATAATATGATTAGATGTATGCTGTCTTTTTCCATCATGATAAATGATTGAATATTATATTGACGTGACATGCCAATGACTAGTATCTGCCAAACATAATTTATATTTTTTCAACTCTTTCCCATATATAGATCTCACAGAGTCAAGGTTGATAAACTTCCCACATCTTATAAAGTAAATTGGTTTCGAAATCTACTGCAGGTTTTACATTCTTTTTCCCTTTCAGAATGTATTGCAGGTCTTTTCGTCAAACCAAAATCCCGTTTGTATTCTAGATGTTCCTGCTCTAGCCCTTTGTCCTTCCTTACATAGGCTTATGTGGCTCATGTTGTCATACCAACTACATCTGCCTCTCTATTGCTTTGGATTGTTCGGTGATGTGATCTAGAGTTGCTACTTGCTAGGGAGGATATATGTGCAATCAGTATTCCATCATCTTGCCTAAGCAAGCCTATACATTAAAATAGAATCAGGCTACTTCTTTTCACACCAAACAATTGCTAGCATTTGAACAAACATCTGCTTAGAAGCTAAACTTCTCATTTTCAGACTTTATTAGGAGATATAAGTTAAACAATTGATTTTATTAGTGAGTTAATTGGCTATAGAAGGAAATCAGAATATATTTGATACAAAAACAAGTTTTTCGCCACGCACTCCTTTTTACTTATCAAAAAAGAAAAAGGTTTTCAACCATGCACTTGCTCCAGCAGAAGAGTATCATCATTCTTCTTAAGTCAATGGATTTTATTTTGGCTTGTTTCAGAGTGGTCCTTAATTTGGTTAAATGCTGATACACAGCTAGGATTTCATTACTTTGTCTCATGATATCAATTGATGCCTACCTTTTTTTGCATTGGTCTAATTATACAGGTAGCTTAACAGATGTGACACATTATGCACGAGGTGTGCAATGGAAATAATCAACAAACCTTAATTCCTTCCGTTTTTTGAGATCTGCTATGGAAACAAATGAAAGATCTGATTTTTCCCCCTTTTTTATTTTTATTCTCGGTTATCTTTCTTTGAATGGTTGTTTAAAACATAATCAGCAGTTGAACCTTAGTTTTTATTAGGCACTAGTCCTGATAGTTTCCATCAAATTCATGGAAATGGTAAGCTCCCTTTACGTTGAGTACAGATTTTGTTAATATCTATGGTGACTTACAATCCACATTTCCCCTAATTGTCTATTTGATCGTTACAAAGTCATGGTAAAGAAATGTCAATTTGGAGTCTTGTACACCATTTTTAAATTTTATTTTATTTTTATAAGTAATCTTGTACAGCCATTTTAACTACCAATTTATTAAATGTTACCTACTTTTCGTTGGCAAATGAGGCATTATTATATTTTGCTTCACCTTGGGAATCCCTATTCTTTGCTATATATTTATATATATATTTATATTTATTTATTTATATTCTTCATAGTGAGTTTCCTTTTTTATGTTTCAGAGACGCAATGGAGATCCACTTCGTGTATACATGGATCTTGAGGCTGGCAGGAAGCGATCAAATGTTGAGGATATTTTTATTAGTTATCATGCCAAAGATGATGTTCAGTCAACTTATGCTGGTGCCCTCTTTCATAATAATCGAAATTATCATTTATCTTCTTATAAGAACAATGTAAGCGTAATCTCCCTTCCCGCTTTCCTTCACTCATTTGCTCATTTCTCATGTTTTAACCATTTCTCTTTTCATTGATTTACTCGCCATATAGTATTATTACCAATTATAAAACTTCATTTTTAAAATTTTATTGCTATTCCTAATTTTCAGGATACTCTTGTTTATTGGTCTTCATCACGGTGTCTTGCTCAAAGAAACCAGCTTGCCAAGAGTCTCCTCAGCTTGTTGCCTCACCATTCATTTGGCAAGTGCTTGAATAACGTTGGAGGCCTAGACAAGGCACTCTCTCTCTATCCAGATTGCATGAAGGATGCCCGTTCGGCTCCAAAATGGTGGGACCATTTACATTGTGCCATGTCTCACTACAAGTTTGTCCTTGCAATAGAGAACACTATGACAGAGAGTTATGTGACAGAGAAGCTATTTTATGCCCTAGACTCTGGAGCAGTCCCAATCTACTTTGGTGCTCCCAATGTTTGGGACTTTGTACCTCCACATTCAATCATAGATGGTACTAAATTCAGCTCAATGGAGGAGCTGGCTTCTTACGTGAAGGCCCTTGCCATGGACCCTGTAGCGTATGCAGAATACCATGCATGGAGAAGATGTGGTGTTCTTGGTAACTATGGAAAGACACGGGCAGTGAGCCTAGACACGTTACCGTGCCGTCTATGTGAGGCTGTGAGTAGGAAAGGTGGGAGAAATGCAAGAGCCTTCTGAAGAATCTGAACCTTTGCATTATTTTATTTATACTCATTTGGAAAACGTGTTGCTGGTGATCATACTGGTTTCGGGAGGGTTTTTTTTTTTTTTTTTTCTGGGCCTTACTAATCGTTGGTGTACATGAGTAGATTGACTTCTTGTAGATAGACTCGAGCACAAGCACAAATCATTCGGTTGAGAAATCTTGGGGATCAGTTTTTCCAAGAACAAATGGTTCAATTGATTATTGTTCTCCTTCCTTCAGAAAATAATAATAATAATAGAAATCTGTCTGTATTTCTGTTTCTCCAATTTTGCAAAATAGAAATCCGTCTTTTGTGCATCTTCAAAGGAGAGGTCTGTGTGTTGCCTCCTGTATGTCACGATTGCCTTGGGGCAGAGGATGACAATGCCCACTTGTTTTGCATTTCCCCCTTTGCTGCTGCTGTCTGGTTTGAGTTGTTTGACAGATATGAACATGCATGGCATTCAGCTTTGATAATGTAGATTGTGTTGCATTTCAATGTGGGATGAAAACCTTTTTCGGTATTGAGGTATAAACAAATGTGACATGTCACTCATTTATCAAAATATTATTTTGAAATTTATTGCTTTAAATTGTGAATTTCACCACTTTTATTAGTGAGTTTAATTTGGTAAACTCTCACCATCACAGAGATAAAATTCATCATTTAAAGTTATAAAATTTTAAATCATATGTGATGAATTTGCATGGCAGAAATAAGGCAGGGTATTTTGATCTTCATCGTGATGGTCTCTCCTCCAAATATTTTTCAAAAAATTAGGTCCCGAGAGTTCGTGATTTTTTAATGTCCCTCCTCTAATAAAAATTAATAATTATTTCTTCTGACCTTTAACAATTTGAATTTTTCAAAATGTTAATCTCATAATCAAATGTTTAAACCATAAATGCTGACAATTATTTGTCAATGAATTGGATTCCATCTTAATCTAATCCGATTATCCAAATATGAATTAAATAAAATATTCGACAACTCGATAATGATCTGAATCTAGTAACCCAACTTAATCTATCATTTTTTTTTTTTCTTTCTATTGCAAGCCTTAATTTCCCATCTGAAAAAGCAATCCCCCAAGGTGATTCTCTCTTTTTTACCAAGGTGTTGTCGCCTTTAAAGTGGATGGCGAGGGTTCTAGTCTTTAAATGAGCAAAGTGGGTGTGTGTAAGTTTCTTGCCAATGACAAATAAAAAAAAGAAGTTTCTTGCCGACAACAAAAAAGAAGAAGGTGATTTTTTGTTTTTTACTCAACTAGGTATCAGGTTCGAGCATCTGAGTAAACAATTTATGTGGAGGGGATGTGTGGGAGTATCAACTAGGAAAGAAAAAATATTTGATATGAATTGATTATCGGATATGACTTGACTATTTAAAAATTTATCGAATCAAATTACTGTGCTTATCGAATAATTGAATCGACCATGATCCGGTCCAAATCCGATTCGTTTATAGGGGTACCTAAAACTAGGCCTGTTAATGGATCGGATTCAGATCGGATCGATCAAATCCATATCCGATTTGTTGAGCAAACGGATTATCGGATTCGGATCACTAACGGATTCTCGGAGTGAATGTCCCAATCCATATCCTATTTAGCTCGGACTCGGATCGAATCGGATTTGAATTCGGATTAAAATCATATTTACTAACATATATAATTATAAAGATAGATGAAGTGGAGAATTACTAATATACATAATGCTACATAATATAACTATACAACCAAATGAATATAATGATAAATAATTAATATATATAAATTTAGTAATTTATAACTAATATATATAACATTGATAAGAACATTACACTATTAGTATGTATATTAAGAGATTTATTAGCATGTGGATAAGAACACCACACTATTGTATATATAACATTATGATTTATTTTTATTTTTATTTTTTGAATTTTTTGGTTACCTCTAATATAATTCTAATAGGAGTATTGATATATATATGTAAAATTATTGATAAATAATTATATATATATAATATATAATTTTAATTGGATCTGATCGGATTTTTATCGGATTAACATAACACATATCCGATTTGTTAAGCTAATGAATTATCGAATTCGGATCGTAATCGGTTTATCGAATTTTTTGTTCAATTCGATTAATTGGATTGGATTCGAATCAGGATTTGCTCAGTTTACCTAAAACCCAATTACTACAAGTTAATGACCAGCCCACGGACAAATGGGTCCTAGAACAGGGCTTTGGACCATAAAAGCAATATCAATTCAAAAAATGCGTTTCTTTAAGGCCAATCTACGAGTACGGGAGAGATATGAGAATTGCTTTGAATGCTCATCGTCTGTTCACTCTCCAAAACCCTCACTCTCTCTTCAAGCCATTTCTCATTCCAACTCTCCGAACCATCAAATTCAACAATTTCAGAAGCCTTCGTCCCAAAACCCTAGGGTTTAATCATCGTTGCAGAGCAATGGCGACTTCAACCTCACCACCACCACCATCACCGCCTCCTTTAGTTCAAGTGAAAGAGAGGATTGATCTTACGGACAAGGAAAAGCAGATATTCGATCGTCTGGTGGAAGTTCTTCGCCATTTCAGTCTCCAAACTCAACTCCGAGTCGCCGGTGGCTGGGTTCGCGACAAGGTCTGTACTCTTTCTCTCTAATGCCAGAATTTACAACTCTTTTTACGCTCTCTATTTGTTCTGGCAGATAATATAGTGTAATTTTTTTTATCATAATGTTTACGCCTCGAATTAATAGGCCATAGTCAAATATCCAAACCCATGGAGACATTTATATAGGTAAATAATTATGTTATTCAATTTTATTCTTTTATTTTACAGATATAAGATATTATTTTACATATGTAGCATATAGTGTTCTAATTTGTTTCAGGTAAGGTCCCCCTTATAAATTTATACTGTAATATAGAAGTAGTGCACATAGCACATAACCCCTTTATGCCATCTTTTGTGCAAATGAAACCTTGATTTTCAATAACTGGTACCCTTCGCAAAATAGCCCTTATAATATAAAATAGTGCATATAACTATCTTCTTATCCATTACTACGCAAGTGAAAAGAACCACTTTAATATGGATGTTGTGCACATAAACTCCATGTAGTATGGAGATTGTGCATGTACTACTCTTCTTTTTAGATGAATTATATGCATATAACCCCTGATACAGTAAAGGGTATAATTTTAATTTGAAGTCACATGTACTTCCTTGCACATATTAATATTGCAGTTTTTTTTTTTGGGTACTATTAGGGGTTATATGCACTGTATCCATATTAAATCGGTATTTTTGCACTCTACCCTTTTTTTAAAAACAATAACGTAACAAAAGCACCAGTGCAGGTTTATTTATGCACAAATATTAGGGATATGATTTTAGGCTCATTGTGCATATCTAGCTAGACACAAGAAGCACACATTGCATACCCATGTCTGAGTGTCATGGGTCTGACACGAGAACTTCATGCGTTTTTTAAGAGTTCATATTACATAGAGGCATCCATACATATAAAAGGTGCATTGACAATAACACTTTTGTTTTAAAAAAATATAAGGACAATTTTATCAAAATTGTGTGAGTCTCACAAATTGAAGTTTAGAAAAGGAAAAAACATTTTATTAAAAAAATATGAAATATTATTGATTATTTGTGAGAAGATCTATTTTTTTACAAATGTGATTCTGTAATCACTTTAATTTTCGTTTGTGTCTGGATACATCTTATGTTACTTATGTGAAAAATTTTAAAATTGAAAAAGTATATTATGTTAATCATTCCTATTGTAGCTTTTAGGCAAAGACTGTTATGATATCGACATTGCTCTTGACAACATGTTGGGTAGAGAGTTTTGTGAAAAGGTCAATGAGTACTCATCATCTAAAGGGGAAGAAGCACAAGGAATCGGTGTCATCCAATGGTATGAACTTTCGGTTCTCTTGTGTTATTATAATGTTAAAATTTATTCTTTTTTATAATAAAAAAACTAATTTTCCCTATTTTTTTAATGATATCTTTTTTATTTATTGTATCATTGTGTTTATTGATTCATATGTATGTATAAAATTATCTTTTCAAGTATTTTTTGGCTCCTGTGTGCAGATGTATATTTGTAGTTTGAACCTATTTGTATGGGAATGGGAAATAAAATATTCTAAAGATTGTTACACTCAATTTGGTTTGGGAGGATGAGAAAGATGATAAGTAATACTAATTAAGACAAATGAGGTGACCAAAAGATAAAGAACTGTTAAATTTTTGTTGATTGTGAAAAGGAAAATGGTTGCATATCTCCAGATCACTCCCTGAAGAAGCGCCATGACATTGCCTCTGACCTAGTCAGTTCCCCTTGTCTGTTGTCAGTGTATATCCAATTGTCAGACGTGTCACATCCCCAAACTGAAGGACTATTCTTATTATTTACTGAGTAATATTTTTATTTTATTTTTCAGAGTAAAACAATGTTTTTAATGGAACACACTGTTAAATATAGACATTTCACTCGTTTGAAGTAATAATGTAATAAAACCTATAAAAAAATATAATAAGATAGTAAAATTGAGTAATTGAATATGCTTTTTTGGTGCATGTCCAACCAAAAGTGCCAGACACAAGTCCCGTACCCATGTCCTAGTATTGCGTGTTTGACACAGATACATCACCTACTTTTGAAGAGTCCATCTAACATATCTTTTGGATAGTGAAACATATATTTTTAGTGGATTTTGTTGTATTTGCTTATGAAATTCTCCCCGGTTTTATATGTTTGAGTCTGCATCTTCTTTATGTTGTTTAGTTTATACACCGCAATTGAATTCATTCACATAACAACCTTTAGTTGTTGCAATGAACCTGCCAAAGTTAGCTTTGCATGTCCTGTGATCTGTTTTGGCAGATTATGTACGACCATTATATCATTTATTTTTTTATTGTGCAGCAATCCTGACCAGTCCAAACATTTGGAAACAGCAAGGATGCGCCTGTTTGATATATGGATTGATTTTGTGAACTTAAGATCTGAAGACTACAGTGAGAATAGCCGCATTCCTACAATGGTATGGTCACTTAGCAAATAATTATTCAAGGTGTCTCTGTTCTTAGTAGCATTTAAATTGTAACTGTAATGAAGTTTTGTTTTTCTTTTGAAGCTATTTGCACTGATATATACTTCATTTTTACAATTTTGGAGTGTTGACCTGAGGCATTATAAGACTTGGAAGTTCTTTGTTTTACATAATACCTAGCTCAATCAATCTGGTAATAAAAATAAAGCACATATAGAATTCCATTGACCATGGATGTCACACGTTTATATGCTGTTTTTATTACATATGTATATATGCATATGATAAGATATGTGTTATTAATTATTTTTTAACTAGTATTGTTATTGGATTTTCAGACTTGTTTAGTGTTTTGACAAGTTATTGTTAATCTTCAATGTAACCAAGTTGGTTTCTCAAACCAGTATTAATCATTGTATGCATGGAAATTTATGGCCTTATGGGTTTATATAGAATTGGAAGGTGTATTCTTTGGGACCGAGGCAAGATTTAGAGTTAAGACCATTTTATCTTGCTTTGCCATAAATTGTGGCAAATGCTTAGGTTGTTGAGTGATCTTAAAGACCCAACAAAATTCCTAGAACAAGGCTCAACAAAATTCCTAGAACAAGACTCATGGGTCACTGGCACAATATACTTCTAGCAAATATAGAAATTACTATAATATTTTTTATACAATACATTATCTTGCTTACTAGTTGAACATTGCCATTATCTAGGATGCCGTTTATATTTTTTATTCACTTGTGTTACAGAGGTTTGGTACGGCAGAAGAGGATGCATATAGGAGAGATCTAACCATTAATAGGTATTTCTTCTATACCTGTTATAATTTTCTGGAGAAGACATAACAGTATGTTTGGCATTGAGAACCAAAGCTTCATTGGTTTTTGTGCCTGAGTGTGTGACTCAATTTATTATTTCAAAGGAACTTCCATTTATAATTTATAAATTGATTTTTTTTTTTTTTGCTCTTTCTTTGGTAAGTTTAATCTGTTAGTATGTTGATAATAGTATATATATTTTTTGGAAAATGATGATTTACCTGGTGGTTCTCTACCATGTCATTTTTATATATCATTCTTTAAACTAAATTGTATTTCTTAGTTCTTATGGTGACATTTTCTAATCTTTTTACAGTTTGTTTTATAATATTAACACCAGCTCAGTTGAAGATTTTACTGGAAGAGGTTGGTGCAGTTTCCATTTTTTTTTTTTATTCCCATTTACTGGATTTTAGAGAACCAATCTCCCAGTGTATGTAGATATTTTTCTTTTGTGTTCCTTCCAATCTATTGATAATTTATTTTATCTAGTCCAGGCATTGAAGATCTGAAGTTCGGAAAAATTGTGACTCCTTTACCTCCGAAGGAAACATTTTTGGATGATCCCCTTCGAGTTCTTCGAGCTATTCGTTTTGGTACTTGCAGAGTTGCAGGATCTATTTCTTATTTGCTTGTTCAACTTATTTGTTTCAGTACTTGCATTGCTCTTTTATGTACATGGATTTCTCTGGTTAACTCTCTGTTCAAACAACTAGGTGTCCACCACGTGATCCTTTTTGCAATTTTACACACTTTAGGGCCTATTTTCTTTTGAAGAACCTAAGAACTTAGTTGTTTGAATAGGAATGAATTTGGATTTTTATCTTTATCTAGCTTTTGTTTATATACTTCTCTATCCATCACAACTTCCTCCATTATTTGCTGTTCGTACAGTACCAGGCTTTTCTTTCTTTGATACCTACCTGGATTTCGTCATTTTAGGTGCCAGGTTTGGGTTTACACTAGATGAGGAACTAAAAAAAGCAGCAGCTGACGATGATGTGAGAGCTGCTATTGCTGATAAAATTAGCAGAGAACGTATTGGTCATGAAGTATGTTCTTCTCATACCTTATCTGATTTAGGATGGTTGTACAGACTCAGTTGTTTTTCATTTCTACAAACACAAATTTAGCTTATATATTATTGCGGTTCATTTTTTCTATTTCTTGTACACCCTATACTAACAATTTGTTTCCCCTCTTTTAATTGTCCATTTTACACAGATTGATCTCATGATCTCTGGCAACCAACCAGTTAAAGCAATGACTCATATTTCTGATTTGCTGTTATTTTGGGTTGTCTTCAGTTTTCCTCCCAAGTTTGAGCTTCCTACATCAGAAGGATTTGATAGGTTTGTTTACTATTGCTTGATTAATTTTGTTTGTTGGAAATAGTTTTTCTTTCAAACTGAGTTTTAGTTTTATTGTCCAACTCATTTATATACATCTTCAAGTGTTTCCCTAAATTTTAATTAATTTTTTTTTTTCGGAGGTGAGGTTGTTTTCTTACTGTTATGTATCTTTTTGTTTTGTGTTTATTTATTTATTTTTGAAAGGCTTTGTTTTTGTGTTATTCTCACTCTTTATTCCTTTACCATTCTGTTAGGTTGTGCGTTACTTACATGGATGCTGCGATGAATCTTATGCAAATTAGTGGATACTCTACCTTCATTGTGAGTAGTGCACGATTCTTTCTTCAATTATTTTATTTTATTTATTGGTTATTCTGATCTATTAGACCATATGTGATTGTAACACATTTGCATGCTTAATATCTATGTATAAGCTATAATTCGTAATATATTATAATTTCCCATGTGCGTGAGAATGCTAGTGTATAGTGTTGGTGGACGCACATACAAATGTGAGTACGTCTACCTGTGTGTGTCTTTGTAAGATACTTAATGTGTTTCCTCTTATTTTTATGATATTCTTTACTAAAATTATATATATATATATATATATATAATGTTCTGATACTTCTAAATGATAAAAAACAGGGGGTTGCAATTGTGTGATGAAAAGGTGACATATTAATGATGCCATTAGGGGGCAAATAAGCGCGTAGATAGTAACTGTGCGTAGAATTTTCTTACGAACAGCTAACATTCAAATTGGTTGCACCTATTTACTTATATAGTGTTCAGATACTTAGGGGGAAAATAAGCGCGTAGATACAGCTAACATTCATATTGGTTGCACCTATTTACTTATATAGTGTTCAGATACTTAGTGGTTGTTCCATTTCTCCACTTGAAAATTATAATGCAGTCATGATTGTTAAATCTTATTGTGTTCTTGTTATCACGAGTATAGGAAAATCTTTGACATGATAAAATCAAACGAGATTGAGCCTATATTCATACATCATTAGCAAGCAACCAAGCATGTAGCCTTTTTATTTACAGATATTTAATAATGCTTTGGTAAATTTCCCCTGGTTGTGCCAAAAAGAAAAATCTGATGCTTTTGGTACCATTTAGGCCTGCCCTTTAATCATACACTTAACTCCTATTTGTGATTTGACCTTCACTATTTGTATATCTGGCTTAGATGACATGATAGCTGTTAGGAAGTATGAAGCACAGAGAAAATTTGGGGAAAGGAAAAACTGGGTTAATAACAATAAATGTGATTGAAATGATGAAATAGGTTCATGTAGCAGACCTAGTTGGGACAACTCTTTGTTGAATTGAGTTAACTTGAGTTTAACATGAACAACTTAAAATTTCACCGGCCACGGAGCTTCAGTTTAATTTTTGAACTAAAAACTTTGTTCTTGGATTGAAAACCTAATTCTTGTTAGAATGTCATTGGTAAATTTGACAAAGTAAGATATGACTAAATGCATGTTGTTCTGACCAGTACAGACTAATAAAGTTGTGAATGTAGATAATATGTCAATAAGCATCTTGAGCCCCTGACTTTGTGAGTGATTACTCATCTGCTCAAACAATGAGGTGCACTTGTTATTCTGAAAATTGATATTTTGGTTTATATTTGGTAGCAAAAATATCAGCGGTTCGCTGATACAGTCATAAAAACCATACTGTGTATAACAGGAAGTTCACACAATGTTATTAGTGAGTAAATAAGGAGAAGTATTTTGGTTCCTAATCCAATTTAAGGAAGCTTCTGATAAAGTTTTCTAAACTTGAGCCAAGAAAGCTAGTTGTTTTGCCTTGTTGGAGAAAAAATGATAATGGTTAGAAAGTAATTTAAAATGGTAGTCTTTCACCTCTAGTTTTGGTGCTGTTTATAAATTCGTGCATTTTCCCTCATAAGCCACTACATCAATAATCATGGCTCCTGAAATTTGGTGACCTACGTGTAGTAAACCAGCTGTTTTGCTCCTCGTCTTATAGTTTCAGGATTTTTTCCTTAGTTATCAGCAAAAGAGATTAAATTCAAGTGCATTTATTGATAATAACAATAAAAATATGAAAGGCTATATGATTCCATCTCTAATAATAATCATAATCGGATAATCTTTTGTTTTGTTTTTGGTGAGATGAGTTTATCATTTCTACATATTTTTTTGCCTTTTATATTCTTGTGTTCTTTGGTATTTTACTTTTATCGATTTAAAGAAGGAAAAAAAAAAAAATTCCGAATTGTCTCTATTATTTTCATTTGTAGCAGTCATGTCGCGGGTTTCATTATCATTTCTAGTACGTCTCGTTCTCTTATAGGATTTTGAGTTAAAATTTTGTTCTCTGTGAATTTAGGATGAACAAAGGAGGCTCTCCTTTTATGCGGCATTGTTTATACCATTTAGGAAGATGGTATATAGAGATAATAAAGCTAAAAAGGTACCATATTTTTCTATTTTTCTCTTTCGCTATCTCTCTCCTTTTTGTGCATCATGTGTGCACATGTGAGTATGTGTTTTCTTAGCCTCTCATCTTTCAAATTGTGAACTTGTGTGACATGTTATCTACCCATAATCGACTTATCAAAAAAAAATGTTATCTACCCATAATCGTACTTGATGCATGATCTTTTGTTTTCTGCTGTACTATTACTCACTTGTCTTCTTGTGGTTTTCCATATAACAAGCTGACAAGGTTTGAGCACCCTAGAAAACTTGTTTGTTTGTCACGTATTGTGTCTTGCATTTATGTTATAGATCTTTTTTTTCTTTTTCTTTTACTTTTTCTTTTTTGTTTTTTTCAATCTATCAAATTGGAAGTGTAATAAATGATAAGAAAGTACATGGCAGAAGACAAGATATCTTTCAGAAGAAGAGAAACAAGTACAATAAACAAAAGCAGAACTCCCCTAAAGAGGATAGAAATGGCCCATAAACTTTTTGTTCACTAATTTGCTTCACGGTTTTCTAAGGAAATAGTGTATTGACACAGGAATCATAATCATAAGATTCTTTCTTGTGGTTGTGACCCGAAGAGGATAATCTGAGACCTTAGCACATTGTGAATTCCACTTGCAACAAGCAGGCATTTAGCATTTGACTGGGCTGTTTGGTTTTTCCTTAATAGTGAGGGTTTGGTGTTTGAAATTTTCAATCCCTTGCACTGTAGATTTTAGCAGCATGGTTCCCATTTTCTGCCAAAGGAAATGTTATCTGCCCCTGCCCCCCCTCCCCTTAACACACACACACACACACACACAATATCATTGCATGGGTTTCTGTTGGAATTGGTTATGTTTTTAATGGTTTATCCTTATTCTGTGCTATATCTCATTGTTATTGTCTAATAACTTCTTATTTGTTCTCATGCTAAAAACTAATGCCATGTCTTGTTGACAGATTCCAGTCGTGAGTTACTTCTTTCGCAGTTCTCTCAAGCTAAAGTCTAGTGACGCTGACACGGTTGGTTCAGATCTATTCGCTTTCAAATGTGTACTTTTCATGTGTCTGCTAACATTCTAGATTGTTATGCTAACTAATACTTGGTGTTACCAGTTTCATTACAAGAAAACTTAATAGTACTATTAGGATTGTTTAGGTTACTGGATTCTCTTCTTTGCAGGTTATAAGCATACACAAAGCAACCGAGAAATTTTTATCCTTGATTCCTTTCTTTGCATCTGATGAGGAGATACAAACTGCTGAAGTTGATTGGGGAAGGGAAAGTCTTGATGTTCCTATTGCTTTAAAACTGCGTGTATTGGCAGGTATAAAGATCTTGTTATTTCATCTTATACTTTTATACTATGTTTCCTGGACACGGGTAATTGTATCGGGTGTGGGTATGCGTCCAAATATTAGATACAGGTATTTACACCTGTAAATACATTTGTATGTTTTATTATAATGTTGTGTTTAATGATGGCTTACAAGAATGTACTCAATTATTTCTCAGTTTAAATGGATGTGGTAAAAGAAAAGGTTTTCATCTATCTCATAGATTGGAAACTCTCTCTGCCATTAAATTTCAGTCTTTTATTTTTCTTCAACCATGCCATATGAAGGATTGGAGTGTCTGAGTTGTATTTGTTTGTTAGGCACATATCATGTGACTGTACACATGTCGTGTCGTGTCAACAAGGGTACGTGAAAGGAAATGGGAGAGTCCATGTAGCAGAGCTTTTGGCAATGTTGTGCATGCATTATCTACTAATTGTTGCCTGTGACAATTATTATCATGTAATTTTTTTTTTTATATAAATTAATAAATATAAAATTCCTGTTATTAGTTAAGCTCTAGTAATTGTCAGAAAACTCCTGGTAATTCATTGACCTAATGTATTGTGTTTGAATATTAGTAGCTTTCATGTCAAGGGTGGGCCTAGCATCTTTCACTTGAGACAGTTTGATGGGGAGATTAAGATTGTTTACTCAAGATGGTTCCTTTTAAAATTGTTTTTAGATTTCAAATTTTAGAATGAAATGAAAGTGTTTGTGATTTAGATTTCTCTTTCCTTTATCCTTCCTCTCTAAGAACGTTTTCTAATTTAACAACATTGGTGTTTGTTGAGTTTCACTGAATCATGGCTAAACTTGTTCTTGCCTGTCTAGGGTTGCTTCTTCGAGAAATCAAAGAGTTTTGGCCTGCTGCACTCTTGGTGTCTGTGTTGTTGTGCCCTGATAATATTGACTGCTCTATAGATTCTTCAGAGAAGCACTTCGAATTGGACAAAAGAAGAGAATTATTTACGACAGTCAAGGACGCAATTACAAGGCTAGGTACAATTGGTGTTCCTTTTTTCTTGACACTGTACAGTCAACTTTTCCATTGATATAGTTTTTGTTGGTAATTGGAAATGTCCGATAATAGCTTGCAAATATTATTTATTCACTATTTTATTTCTGATCATAAGAGGTTAAGATACAATGGGCCCCAAAATCAAAAGTGATGGGTGACTCATGTGACTCAATGCTTGGACTTGAGTATCACGAACTGACTAGGACCAACTCACTAAAGTGAATCCATATGGCTCCAAAAGTTTTGGAATTACTCCATTAGAGATCTTAGATATTCTGACTCTGGCATTTTCTGGAATCTTCTCGTGCATGCTTTATGAAGAAGTTTTAATGTTGCCCCTTGCTACCCAGACACGTCAATTTAATTGTTGACCAGCCCCTAATTTCTTGTTGCTTGCTTTCGATTATTTGTTTATGCTTCGTAAAAATGGACTGCAATGGAATCGAAATCATAATTAGTGCTTACAATTCTTAGGAGGGACATTAACACATTATATATGAACTGATATGGGAAAGATTAAATTCTCCCTATGCTGATGGTTCCCTTTCCTTGTTTATTACTGAATTTTAAGTTTTGCTTTAATTTCACATATCCTTTACACCTGTGATGTTGCATTTTTATGCTTTCTTTTTCAACTTTTTGCTTAAAACATTAATATTAGAGAAATCCAACTTTCTAAAGACAGTGCTATAGGTTAATGTCCATGATCTGAAGACCGTCTTTTTTTTGTTATTAGCTTATAATATCTTTTCAGTTTGAAGCTTACATAAGTATACATATATATGTATGAATGTATTTTCTTTTGGTAGATATGTAGCTAAATATTTATCATGATAAATATCTTGAAGAACTAGAAAATGTTGTCATGCTTTGCTTTATTAATGCTAAAAGTAGCTAATGTTTCTAAAGATGTTCAAGTGGCAGCTGAGTTTGTTTGAATTAAGGATAGACCGCACTCAGAAGTCAGAAATAGAAAGAAAAGGGGGAAAAAGAAGAAAGCTCAAAATCGATGTGTAGCAAAAAGAAAAACATCAAATTGATAAGGAAGGGCGGGAAAAAAAAAAAAAAAAATAAATAAAAGAAAAGAAAGAAAGAACAATTAGAATTCTACTGTGGCAGCAGATTTACGGAATATTGTAACTGATCCTCTTGGTGGCAAGACACCCAAACCAACCCATTGATTAATAAACGAAAATTAATTTGCAATTTTTGGATATATGTGGCACTCACAGCCATGTTATCTATCATATTGTGCAGCATTGATCTTTGCAGGGGTGGGTTGGTTGAATACCATCCTTCCTGATCAGAAGAATCAGAAACTGCATATGGAAGCTCCATTAGAGAGTATCATGGTGTCTTCTAAACTTTTCAATGGCATTAGCAATCCTTTTTGCTGAAAAGTTTGCCTCCTGGCCAGTAGAGCTTCAGACTCAAGAAATTGAGGAACAACTTCTAGGGCACTGTCCCAAGTACCATGAGGAATGTATTTTCAAAAAACCCTGAGTTCTGTTGTTAACTTTTGTTAATGAGAAAGCATCTTAGTCAACTAGAAAATTATATCAACCTCTTCTCTGAGCTTCTTTGTGCACACTAAATCATTATCTGAAGCATTCCCAAGGGTGCAAGTTCCAATGGTGACCTTGTTTACTAAAAATAGTCTGCTGCATAAACCTCAATTCTTATAATGAACTTGTAGACCTTGTTTGATGTTTAAATGGTGTTTTTGGAAATGCAGGCTTGGAGAGAGTCTGGGAGATGAAGCCATTGGTCAATGGGAAGGATATAATGAGTGTTTTGCAGCTTAAGACTGGAGGACCACTTGTTAGGGAATGGGTAAGGATCCATTTTTTCCTGCACAACAAATTGGTGCATAACTTCAAATTCTAATTTATTATATATTCTTGGCAGCAACAAGAACTTGTCGAGTGGCAGCTAGCCTACCCTTCCGGGACTGCTGAGGAATGCCTTGATTGGATGAGGCAAACTCATTCAAAGCGTGCAAGGATGGAGTAACTTGTCCACTCAATTACTTTTCTTTTAGTTAGATCTTAAATCTCATCTACCTCTCGATGAAAAAAAAAAAAGAAAAGGTTTCTAATTTTTCCACCTTTTTTGGGGGTCATGCAGTTGGAATTTTGTTATGATATACAAGCAGCATCTTTGAAGTTCGAGCTGCCAAAATTGTTAGATTTGTTTTTACACCAGGAACCCCTCCCCCCTTTTCCCCCAACATGTACAGGTTATAGAGGATAAGTGACTCATCAGCAGAATCATCTAATCTTTAGTGAGAAATCTCTGTATTCTTTTTTGCAAAAATTTATATTCATATGGATCCTACATTTGTTCGTCACAACTTTCAGCGGATCCTATAGTTTTGTAATCTACATTTTTTCACTTGCAATTTAGATAATTTAAAGCATGGTTTCGTGCTACCTTTTATTCTTTCACTCCCGATACACTCTTATCATACTCTGTTTCATTCAAGCTTAAGATACGCTTACCGAAAGCCTTTCCATTCACCATGTTCTTATAAGATTGTGTTTGATGTCCGATAATGGTGGTATGTTGTGAGTACCTAGCAGAAGATTGGAATCATCATTATGAATGATGATAAGAGTTGAAGTGGCAACATTTCATGAGTTCTCTTAAAACCACTTGTGTTTATGGCTAGATATTCATTAATTTGCCTGATTCTGTTATATATTTATGAGCTGCTAGTAGATTCCTTTGGCAGTTTGAAGTTGTATTGTAGTTAATGGAATCTTTTTCCTATGTCAACTTAAAGATAGGACTAGTTTCAGTTTTGGTAGTGGAGCAGAAAGATTATTGGAGCAGTTCCATTATTTTGGTGCCATTTTGAATTATATTTAGGATCATTTTCATTTGTATTCTTCTCCAAATAGATGCTGAAAATGATACTCAAGCAAGTCTCCTGTAAAGTGCTTTTCTCCATACCTCGACAATAGAGTTCCTATTGCTGTGAAACTAATTTAGACGGTAAATACATCTAAAATTAATTCTGAATCTTAAACCAGGAGTTGGTTTGGCTTTTAAAAGTGTGCTTCTGAATTTTAGTTCTATGAATTTCACTTTTCAAAAAATAAAAAATAAAAAATGGTTCTTGAAATTTTGCTCTTAAAATTCTAAAGACTATTATAATCTAATGCATTATAAATCATGCTAGACTTGTAAAATGTGTTCTCTTCCTACCTCAACAGTAGATCTATTGCCTTGATCTATTAGGTTTGACTCAACAGTAGATCTATTGCCTTGATCTATTAGGTTTGACTCATGGTTCGTCGACTGATATTATTGCATACTTTTGTGAACTGATTAATTTATTTCGATATTTGCACGAGTCCATTACACTGCAACTATTACTGCGATTGCGAACTATGGTCAGACTTGAAGTAAAATTCTTGTTATATGAGGGTAGAAGTTTGAACCAGTGAAATGCTAAATGCAAAACCAGTAAAAAAAAAAAAAAAAAAAAATGGAAAAAACTCGATTTGAATTCAAAAAATTTCTAAGTTATCTTCGGTATTTTTTGTTTAGCAAAGAAAACCTTTAGAAGCTTCCAAAATATCTACTAAAAAGTAAAAACTACCAGATTCTTTTTCTTAAACAAATAGCAACAAATTTAGATTTTTTTTTAAGAAAAAAAAAAAAAAAGTATTTCAAATCGAAAATTGAAAATTGATGCTCGCTCTCCATAAAAAAAAAAAAAAAGTATTTCAAATCGAAAATTGAAAATTGAAAATTGATGCTCGCTCTCCATAGAAAACCTCTTGCATCTTATTTCCCATAAACCATACATGTTACTTTATGGTACAAGTACTGTCTACATATCAAAATGGAAGAAATTATTAATCAAATTAAAAATAAGGAAGAAAGGAAAAGAAAAGGTTATTTTGTCAAACCCCGGAACCAAACACACTGTAAATGTCAAACAATATAAATGCCCATAGAGATTCGGATACCACATTCTTCTTCCTCGTAAAACGTCAGTGACGTACTCCACAATTGCAACATAAGTAAATCAAATAATCGCAGTGATTGATTAACGAAACGATGCGAGTACTGGGGCTGATACTGTCGTCGATCTTTTTCTCTCTCCTCTCGGCGATCTCTTCCCACGAGTTCGCCGTCGATGGCAAGGTGTTGGAGCTGACCGAATCCAACTTCGACTCCGCCATATCGGCCTTCGACTACATCTTCGTCGATTTCTACGCCCCTTGGTGTGGCCACTGCAAGCGTCTCGCTCCCGAGGTCCTTTCTCTCTCATCCTCTTCGATTTCTCTGGCTTTCCTCAATTCAGATCTTAAAATATTCACACACACACATGTATGTAGTAGTATATATTTGTTTGTATATATAGGTGTTATAATGCGTAGAAACATCAAATATGTGCTTCAATTTTTCTTATGCTGAGATTTTTCATTTTTAGAAAAGCATGATTGATCATAGGATAGTTGTAATCATATTATATATATATATATTAATGTAAAACAGTTTAATCATTTAATTTTTATCCTACGTTCATGATGCAAAATGTTAATACAAGCATAATCCCTAGTACAGAAGTTGGAATCCAATCAGGTTTCATCTGAGATATGGCAATGGTCTATACACGAGCGAATGCATGAAAATCAAACATTTTAAGCATATCACTACCTAATCAGTTTAATATATCCTAATTGATGACAATCTCGTTTTAGACATCATACAATCAAGAATTCATTCTCATATAGCATAGTGAAGAATGAATTTGTGAAGTTGATACCACTTAGCCTTTAGCTCAACTGGTATCTCCTGATTGAGGGTTCAAGTTCAGTTCAGTTGGGGTAACAACGAGTGCAAGCTTATCACCAATCCAAAAAAAAGGGTAGTTACGACGGGCCTAATTGATGACAATCTCGTTTTAGACATCATACAATCAAGAATTCATTCTCATATAGCATAGTGATGAACGAATTTGTGAAGTTGATACCACTTAGCCTTTAGCTCAACTGGTATCTCCTGATTGAGGGTTCAAGTTCAGTTCAGTTGGGGTAACAACGAGTGCAAGCTTATCACCAATCCAAAAAAAAGGGTAGTTACGACGGGCCAGTGGCCTAGCAGTATTGGGCCCTTACTTTCCAAAGGGAGGTCAGGGGTTCAACCCTCAGTGGAGGCATGTGTGTGTGAGTACCAACTAATAGAAAAAAAGAAGAAGGAAGTTGTGAAGTTTTCATCCTAAGTATGTTGAATTAAGGAAAAGAAATGCAAAATATATCCATCATACATACAAACATAAAAGTTTCCATCGTTGCAGGTTAAAAGCTAAAACTTATGGAAACATTAAAGTGTTTGTTTATCTGACTAGCAATAATTCCATAATTATTAACCCAGAAAATTATCTTCATAAGAAACTAGGATGATATCTTCTATCAATGATTATGTTTGGGCATGCATGTGTCTTATTGGGCTATTGCCTCTCTCTTTTTGACGCACAAAAAGGTTTCATATTTCTTATTGTTTACTGTGCAGTGCCAACAGCTGTAGTATACTAATTCCTTCAGATATCCTTTCTCAGTATTATTTTGAATGCCTTCCAAGCAAGAAGGATAACAACTCTAATTTTTGCATTGCAGTTAGACAAAGCTGCTCCTGTTCTTGCTGGGTTGAAGGAGCCCATAATAATTGCAAAAGTAAATGCTGACAAATATACCCGTCTTGCTTCTAAATATGAAATTGAGTATGCTGCTATTCCTTATTTTCTTTTCCTCCTTGAAAGTTAAATGAAATTGTCTTTTATTACATTCACGATGGACTCATTTTTTCACTTGACTCAAACTAGAACATAGGATAATTGCTCTTAGATAAAATGCAAACCTTCTCTGGTTGAGGATTAAGATAGTACACTAATTATATACTTTTTTATGATGCAGTGGGTTTCCTACGCTAAAGGTATTTATGCATGGAGTTCCTACTGATTATTATGGACCAAGAAAAGCAGATTTACTTGTTAGATTCTTGAGGAAATTTGTTGCTCTCGATGTTGCCATTCTCAATTCCGACTCTGCTATTCGTGACTTTGTTGAAGCAGCTGGCACAAATTTTCCTATATTTGTAGGATTTGGTTTAAACAAATCCATGATATCAAATTTGGCCATCAAGTACAAGAAAAGAGCATGGTTTTCCGTGGCAACAGATTTCTCAGAGGACATGATGGTGTTGTATGATTTTGACAAGGTTCCTGCTTTGGCATCCATTCATCCAGGCTACAACGAAAGAAGCGTTTTCTATGGTCCCTTTGAAGGTTAGTTATATTCAGATTTACCAAGCCCTGATCAATCAAATTGGTTTTGAAGGGAGTCAAAATGATTTTATGTTGAAAAATGGAAGGAGCCCTCTTTTTTTTTTTTTTTTTCTGACTAATATTATATTTATATATTTCTTTTGGAGTGATTCCATAATTGGACAAGTCCATTTATCACATTATATTTCTTGATCCATATCTAAGTTAATTCAATTTTAGCACCATAAAATGAAAAGAAAAAATTAGGACGATACATTAACTAACTGTCAAAATTATTGTACAGTGAGAAGGTGTCAGTATGGCATTTAATAGACATATACAATATATATATATATATATATATATATATATATATATATATTGTGACTCATGCTCAGCACTAAAAGTTGGTTCTTAAGCAGTATGCTGAATTGTTGAAAATCTATAGTTGGTGTAGAGCTGAACCACTAGAGATATTTAGGAGTCTAAAAACTTCAGCATGGATTGTAAAAATTTGCATGTCTTCATCTTATTATGAGAAGTAGCCTCTGTCAAAGAAAATGAGTGGTATAAGTGAGGTGGTGCGACCCATGCGATGCCTGAATGTTGATAGTAAGTGTTGAAATTGGGCTAGGTAATGAGTGAATAGCATTAAATAGGAGTTTGAGAAGTTCACAGAAAGGAAAATAGAAAAGAAGAACAAAAAGAGAGAAAGTAAGAAAGAAAACCAGGTGTGATGAACTTGTTGATCTTTTGACTTTTAGGAGATCAATGAGGCATCAAATTGGATGACATTTAATGACCATGGTATTATGGTTATGTTGAGGTCCCTGGAAGATCTTTTCAACTAGAAAATTTGTGGGACTGATAGAGATTTGGTGAGACCCACATGTAATGTCTCCATTTTCTTCTTTATAATCCTTGGCATCCTTGACATTTAGTTACGGGATATGAATTCTATACATTTTCCTAGAGTACTCGTTATCTAATAATAAGATTTATATTTTATCAGAATATGTAATCTCTCCATTGATGCATTTCTTTTGATGGGTGTTATTGAATATCGTTTGAGTTTGTAACTCTCTCCATGTATTCCATCGGGTTCAGTTATAATCTGGCAAGTTCTTTAACCAAAATTTGTTCGTTATAGTATTTTTTTAAATGCCACTGGCTGAAGACAGAAATGCTTGTGTAACCTTCCCTGTTTTGAACACGCAGAAAAATTCTTGGAAGATTTTATAAAACAGAGTTTGTTCCCTCTTGCGTTGCCTATAAATCATGACACACTAAAGTCATTGAAAGATGATGAGAGGAAAATTGTTCTGACAATTATGGAGGATGAGGCAGACGAGAAATCGAAGGAGTTTGTCAAGCTACTGAAGGCTGCTGCATCTGCAAACCGTGACTTAGTATTTGGCTATGTTGGAGTCAAGCAGTGGGAAGACTTCACAGAATCATTTGAGGTCTACAAAAAAACTAAACTTCCAAAAATGGTCGTTTGGGATGGAAACGAGGAGTACTTTTCGGTAAGTCAAATTAATCTTTATCTTAATGTTAATTCTGATACAAATAAGTTCTGGTTACCATTTCTCCAGGATGTGATAGAAGTACCTTGGTTTAATTCGTTAAGAAATTTCTAATAGTTGGTGAAACAAGATATTGGTTGTTAGTATTTCTTATTCATAATCACACTTGCATCATTGTAGTTTTTTTTTTTGCTGTCATTGGCAAGAAACACACACACCACTCATACACCCACTTTGCTCCTTTTGGAGACTTGAACCCTCACCATCCACTTTGGGAGTAGAGGAGATACCACTGGGCCACAAGGTCCTTGGTCTGCATCATTGTAGTTTAGTAGAGGAGATATTGTGAATAATCTAACTGATCTAAAAGTTCTTTGCACATTCAATGATTTATAACTTTGGGAACCTGAATCAGAAATTTAGGATATCGAACGAATCATCAATACAGCATTTCTAGGATATTTGGGAATATCTACGGAATAAGTGTTACACAGATTGTGGATTAACACTTCTGACACGTATCATTAGCCAATTAATTGTTAGCAGGGAATATCCTTATATCCAATGAGTATTTCCATTAGTCAAATAACTTGTTATGGAGAGTTGTACCTCTTAACTGAGTTGTGAACTGTACCATTCGATTGGATTTATGGAGAAATTTTGAATATGACAGTGAGCTGCTAGCATCTCTTCTTCCCCTTCTCTCCATCTCTCTCTCGCTTTCTTCATCATTTATTCTACCATTATATAGTTTTCAATACCATGAACTGTGGCGACCTTGTCGGCGGGTGTGCATGGGCGGGTGGGAGGCACTGGCAGGCTACGTGTGCACATCCCACATCGCCTGAGTAAGGTGAAGGTGAAGGTGATGTGCTTATTTGTGCTAGTGCTATCTCCAAATGGTATTGAGACCTTTTGGGGGTAAAACCAAGAACAAAACCGTGCGGGCTTGGGCTCAAAGCGGACAATATCATACCATATGGTGGAGTGGGCTGTTACATGAACCTTGAAAGATTGCAAGGTGCCTTCTCTTTTTAGTTCCCTTTTTTTCCTTTTCCGTTATGCCTTAGTTTTAGTCTATCCATTTCCCTCCTCTTCAGTATTTGCTTAGTGTCCACCCATTCCAACATTTCACTTTATTCCTTTTCTTTCCTCATTATCTGGGCCATTTCTTGATTGTTAAATCCTAGGGGTAGCCTTATGGTGTCACCTAATCTTTTAGGACCTTGACTTTGTGTTTCTCTTTCATTTTAAGTTCCGGTTACTAATTGTTGATTGTTGTGCCTTTTTAATGCTTATTTATGAAAATTTTAAGACTTCTTAGACATGAATCTTGCATGTTCAATAAATTTTTTGGCATATCTTCTCTGCTTTGTTGGTTATTTTTTCTGGCCGTTGTTTACGATTGATTGATTAATGGACTAGTGTCAATTAATGAACATTTAGGTTGTCCAAAAAAGCTAAAATCCCTGGATCAACCCAAGGTTGCATTAATAGGGAAGTTTGCCATAAATTAGGGCTTCAGATTTCCTGCTATGCATTTTGCTGTTAAAAAAGTGGGAAAATATCTGAGGGTTATAATTTTTGCAGGAAAATATAATTGGTGTTGCTCATCTTTTCTGTGGCAACCAAAACCACAAGAAGTGAGATAATCAAAATATTCTTCACTTCCTCTGTCACTAAATCGGAGCCCAAGTTTTTTAAGTTTAGAACCAATTGCCAGCATCCAAGGGGAAGGACTATAGTACAATTGTTTGAAACTGAATGGAATGTCTGTAGAGCTCTGCCATACTATACCTAGAGACTGACCATCATATTTGGAAGTTGTCTTGTCTTGTGAAGTTAATAAAATAAAGTCAGGCCTATAATATGAACAGGATACCAGGATATGTATGATTGACGATCACTGCTATTTGCGTTATAATTGCTTATTTCCAGATGTCATGCTTGCACCATTTTGCTAGAGAATCTTGTTCTCTAACTTATGAAGCATCGAAGAAGTAACAGCTAACACGAAAACAAAAATGATTTTACTTGGTGTGACATGTCTGCTAACTTTGTGGAATGCATGATACATTTGGATGTTGTCTGTCAGTAAATACATCAGATGGTGGTGTATTGTACCTAAACAACAATTGCAATATTAGTGTACTTATTTGGAGAAATTATCATAACTTCCGTACCTAAACAGACACTGTCATAACTTCCGTACCTAAACAGAAACTGTAAAATTAACCGTTGACTATGCATGCAAATCTGTCTGCTTTGCCCTGTATTTTTCTTTATATTATATTCCTAACAACAAGAATGCTATAGTTTTTAAACATCTCAACAGCAGTTGTGATATTAGTGCAATCATTTGGGGAAATAATCATCACTTCCCGACTTCCGTACCTAAACAGAAGTGTAAATGCAACCATTAACCATACATGCCATTCTGTCAGCTTTGCCCTGGATTTTTCTTTATATTATATTCTTAAAAACAAGAAATACCATAGAATAAATATTTACAATGCTTGCATGCTTTTTGATCAATGATAATATTTCAAGCCCTCTCCATGAGTATGCCCGTTTTAAGTTTGATGCTCCAAGAAAGCTATTTTGTCTCTTAATTATCCATTGCTGTCTGAAACACATTTTAGGCATAAGGGAAATATGTTAACACACACTGATATATTACATTTATTCCTCAAAAAGGTTATTGGTTCAGAAAGCATTGATGAAGAAGATAAAGGGTCCCAAATCACAAGATTTCTTCAAGGATATAGAGATGGAAGTGTGATACAGAAACAAATTAGTGGTCCATCGCTGATGGGCTACATCAACTCGTTAATCGGGATCAGATCCGTATACATAATCGTTTTTGTGGTTGCAGTCATCATGCTTATCCAAACCATCAACAAAGAGGAACCTCTAAGGGTTGGTACTCGAGACCAGGCAGGTGATGCAAGCAGCTCTACCCCTCTGACCGAAAACAGAGAAGTACACCGGTCAGGAGACAAGGAAGATTAAGTTCAGGCTTTGCTGGACTCCTAACTGAATTTGTTAGCAACACTTGGTCCAAGTAAGGAGGCTTTACAAAACAATACATTATCCATAGAATATATGTTAGCAAACTTTAATTTACCCCCTTTTGCCCCGTGTATTTATTTTGATTCTTATGTCGTTATGCAATTTGTTTCTGGAAACAATTGTCAGTGTGATCTGATACTGTAGTCTCTTATCATTTTTCCTTCGTGTGATACGAAGATCAGCTTCCAATTTCCCTGAAGTGTACAACATATAGTGGTTACTTGTGTAGGATTATTTATCACTCTTTCGGACTTTCCTTTCTTCAAGCAGTTCTGTTATCTTAAAATGTTAAATCGTGCAAGGGTTCATGATATTGTAGCATGATGCTCACTTTCATGCCACTCTATGGAGCAGTTTAACTCATCCTCGAGTAAGTAGTACATCATGATTTATTTTCCGATGGCTGTAAGTGAAAATGTATTGGTTTACTTCATGTATGATAAATTGATAATGTTGTATTTTAACACCTTTACCACCAAGGAAGTCTGGTTGCGTCCAGCTCGTCACTATCAATATCAACTTTCGTTACTATAATGGTGTGAAATGGATGAAGTTTGAATATTCTTGATCAAACCTTCCTTCCAATGATTGGAATCCCGGTGGATTAGATCACTAAATCTACGAGATAACTTCGTAGTTACTCTGAAATCAGATTTCCCCGGCAGCCGTGGATCTTCCCAACAATCTATGTTCTCCCCATCACCTATTCTCCATTTCCAGCTTCTACTTATAAACCTCTCTAGCTGCGTGCTTCTCCATTCCTAGGAAGCACCCCGCTTGCTGTTGGACTCAAGGAAGCTACGGTCTTTGGAGTATTTTTTTCTTGAAATTTTTTACGAACAGGAGTCAGTACCAATCTCCACGCCAGTTTTCCAAGGAAAACTAAATTGGAAGCTTCAAGATCTTTAAATCCCAACCCCCCATATCACCTTTCTGATCACACAGTTTTCCAGCTTATCTATTTGATTTTCTTGGATTTTGCATGGCCTAACCACCAAATTTTCAATATTTTGCGCATCACCGGTAATTTTGTCCAAGGATTTCTCCACCACTTGGGGTTGGGATTTCTCCACCACTTAAGGCTGATAATACACTGCTTTTTTCCGGAGAAAGCTGAATGGTAAATATATCAATTGGTAAAAGGTACTTGACAATTCTGAAGCCAGAGCACTGGAAACAAAAATCCAAACCCATAAACATATGGAGAGAGAGGGCGGAGATTCAAAAAGAACACGACAGCCGCAAAGAGCACCAAAGCAACACAGTTTTTCGAAAAGGACACAATTAATCCATTGGTATATTTACACACACACTTCAACCAGAAAGTTTCTACAAAGGCCTGTTTTTTCCTCCATTAATGGTCAAATATTCCCCAATAAAGATAAATAAAACAATATTATAGAACAAAAATAAAATTTCACATCACTTTTGTGTGAAACCCTCAAACATAAGAAGTTAAAGATGAATAGCACAAATTTTAACCTACGTGCATAATAAACACAATATGCAGCACAACTACAAGGTGAACCCAAGATGAAAAACACAATCTTATGATACACTGTACAAAGTAGACGCAATGCATTACTTCCGGATTATCTGTCACAAGTAAACTACATGTCGCTTCAGGTGAAGCCAAATCAACGTGATGTTTTGAGGTGTGAAATAGAGGTCAAAATAACTCAACTGCTGTTCATCCACCTCCGTCTGGTGAGCTTTGGTATAATCTACTCAGGATCTTTATGATACACTAAAAGTTCAATCACATCCTGGAAGAGATTGAGCAGAAGCATAGGGAGAGAAGCTTGTAGTTGACTCACTACAATGCAGGGGGTGTTGCTGCCGACTAGAGGACCCAGCAAGACTCAGTGAATCATTGCCAGGACTAGGAATATATGGAGACATGTATCTATAATTAAGAGGCGATATAGAAGGATAACCTGATGAATGAGGTGAAACCAAATGGGAGGCATGCGATCTTTGGGAAGAAGCATTCCTCAGGTCTACTGAGCTTTGGCTTGCACTTAGGTATGGAGATTGATGGTACGACTGCAGAGATTGTTGGACATGAGAAGTGCTAGCAAGGAAATGAGGACGAGAAAGTGAAGGGGACCGAGAAGCTGGGGCTATATGTATGGCTGAAGATGATGCTAATGATGATCTGAAGGATGACAGTATGGAAGATGAAGCAACAGAAGCGGGGTTGGATGAAAGCAATGGTGTCAGTGCTGACGCTGGTGGATCACCTGTGTTAGTTCTAGCATCACGCTTGCAAACAGGGCAAAAGGTTCTCCATGTAGTAAGCCAAGCATCCACACAAAGAGCATGAAATTCTGTCAAAATTCAAAAACAGTTCACTCAAAAAAAATCACATGATCAAAGAGATACCCCGTAATTTATAAAATCAGCAATGCAATACCGACCTAAAATGAAGAACATAAACTGAAATAAGAGCACATCTCATGTGCCAAAAACTTGTCTTCAATATCAAATTCTATGCAAAACAGAATTTATATAAAACCAAATTATATCCATCTGCGCTATTGCCATGAAAATAGTAGAGCAGGAGTGAACTTACATTCCACCTTAAAATGGCACAAGCAAACAGAACATAAAAAAAAATAAAAAAATAAAAAAAGAATCTTGTCTCCATGTGTTCACTACCGTTAGAATGTGGCCAAAACTTTCAGATGTCCTCCAACCCAACTAAATTTTGATTCTTTTACAAACCATTGATTACGATAGTAAATTTAATCAGCCAAAACCAATAAAAGGCTAATAGGTCTGAGATACTTAGAAGACAAGTTAATGAGCATGTGTTGAATCCAAAGAATCTTTTTGATGATTTCTGATAATATATAACGAAATAATAATTTCATAGACTAACTTTTTGTATGTAAATATCAACATGCTGAATCATCTTTGGGATGGTAAAAGAAAACTTACTGTGATGACATGGCAGAACTCTAAGCTTCTCTCCAACGGTATAGTCTTCAAGACATATAGCACATGTTCCGGAAGTAGAATTATCCTCTAAAACTGATGTAAATATTAGGCTTGGCATTGCTTTGACTAGACGACTACTCATCCCATGGAATTCCCGAACACGTGAAGCTCGAGGCCGTTGTCGTCTTATGCGATGCCTTCGGACAAAGAAACAAGTAGCCAGCACAGCAGACATGGCAAGTAATGAAATGAAAGATATGGCCATGATTGACCATGCCGAGTTCTCAAAGCTTGGAATTATCCACAGTTCGATGTTGGTAATGCCAGCATACTTTGTGAGTACTTCACCTGAAGCTTTGGAAATAAAGACGGCATGTATTTTTATACCAGCTGAATTTCCTGCCACTACATTTTTCAGATGCCTGTATTAGACATTCCCACACGTTGATGACTATATAATCATCACCATAATAAAAGAAAACCATTCAAAGAAAATTAGCTAATTATAGAGAAGAAACAATGCAGACTTAAAACCTTGACAAAAAAACTTGATCTTCAATTTGTCGTGAATGATGAAACCAAGTGGATGTTAATACCATCCTAGTTATGAGATGCTACAGTTATTGAACATCTGTATATAGTTAAGCAAGTTTTTTAGGGCTTATGTCAATAACTGAGTTCTACAACATCTATAAAAACAGTGTCATTATGTAAAACAATATTATTGTTCATGAAGACAAAAATCTTTCAAAAATTGCAGAACTTTCTATTAATATGAGTGTGGATCTCGGAAAACCCCTTATGGGATAGAGCCTCCCTCTCATTTTACCACTCTGAAGATATTGTGCAATAGTTTTACTAATATATAGCACTTCTAACACCCTTTCCCATCACAAAATCTCCCTTTTTTCATCACAGAGATGATCCAAGGTTCAAATTCATTATTCTACAAAGTCCAACCATAATTCCCTTGTTTTAATGGCTTATCTGACAACTTTTTCCTCATGTTCACCCTTAAAACCTAAGGAAGCTACACCTTCTTGCATCATTCTGCAACTAATAAAATTGATATTCAAGACAACAGATCTGCTTAGTGCTTATAGTTAAGACAGTGGTCCAAACGTTTAGCTTGCCCTTAAAGAAGATTTCTGTAAGTATGGTATAAACAAAAGGTTTATTTTATTTAGTTTTTATAGCAAAATAAAAAGTCCAAACATCACCATTAGCTTAAAGAAAATACACCTTTTCTTTTCTATTTCCTTAAAAGTTACTTTATCAATATGACAATGAAATACCATTCAAAATAATGGATTAAACCATAAATTTATTTGCTATGAAGTATCTGATTAACTGAAAAAAGTCAATACCTAGTGTTGCTCCTGTCAATTTGCGATGTTGAAAGGGAAGGTGAACTAGGTATAGACTGACCCTTGACTTTATTTGCATGATGTGGTTGCTTTCAACCTTGAACTCGTGTTTACATGCTTGAGAGTCCAATCTTTTTTTTTTTCATTACATTTAGAAATGACCCTAACCTGATTACTATGAGAACAAAAATGCACATGCACAAGCAGTATGATATAGTCAAATAGTCAAGGCTTAGAAAGTTGCCCAAGGAAGAGATTGTTACTTGCAACCAAATCACCATTGCCACTGTCATAGACAATGGCTGCTTTGAAGCCTGCAGTTTGTGCTCTTCTAACTTTGTCCTCAAAGCTACATCCTCCTCTAATAATCAATGCAAAAGGGGAACCAGCGCTCTTTTCAGTTGAATTAACCTTATTTATCAACGGCAAACATGCATTAAGAGGCTCCGCCAAGTCCAGTGTGCCACACATTCCAGACCCTTTCACTGTCGGAGCTGAAGTTATCAATGGAACCAAAGTCAAGAAATGTGCAAATATCAGATCCAATCACTGATTTGGAACTTTCTATCGAGTTCTCAATTGAAAAAAGAAAAAGGAAAAATGACAATATCATGGCCATCTCAACCATAGCAAACCATATTCTTGTTTGATTCCTACAATTTCCAATACTTGGTGACCATAGTGAACGAAAATTGTACCCTGTAATTTGATCATTCATGAATTGGCTAGAATATCCAGATCCCAATACCTAATAGACGAATCAGGAGTTTGTTTAGTTTTGATTATTCACAAATTACTCCCAATGTATAAACGTTTAGAGGTTGCATAATTATAGCTTGTCCTAGAGACAATAATAATAGATCAACCCTGAAGCTCTTCAACACTAATCAACAAACCCAGTTTTTTTTTTTTTTTCATAAACCAAACCCAAATTCAAATATTTATTAAATAAAATTATAACGATTCCAAAGCTCAATTTCGTCACTGTTTCATTCTCCCAAGGAAAAGTAATCAGAATATATATATATAGAGAGATAGATATATATATATATATATATATAGAGAGAGAGAGAGAGAGAGAGAAACAATAAACCCTGAAAACTCACCAAAGTTGGCTTCGATGTCATTGAACGACAAGGTCACGTTGGTCCCAATCAATACCACATTAGCAAAAGCCGCACAAGCCATGAAAGAGAGAAAAATATTGATGAGAAGGAAAAGCTTCATCATCTCTATTATAAAATCTGATAACTACTTGAACCCACCAGAACCGCACAAACTCTAAGGCTAATTAATTTTAGAGAGAGAAAAATTAGGGTTTTAGGATGGAAACATCAGCTTCCATTCCGATTATTCTTTGATGCTCTCTCTGGTTCGGTTTGGGTTTTTTTCTCTTTCCTTTCTTTGGTTGAAGATACGAGTGGAGACAAGGGAGAGAGGAAAGTTGGCAGTTGGAAAAATAAAAAATTGTTGGTAATGGTGTCATTTTCTATTATAATGAAGGAATGGGGTCCTAGTGTTACCATATGATTGGACCTTACTTTATAATGCGGAGTTTTTATTTATTTATTTATTTATATTATTATTATTATGATTTGGTAATAGAAAAAGAATGGTAAATAATTGATGAAGTTTTTAATATTATCTGAAAATAGAAAAAATCTTAAATACCTAGATTCAAGCTTGTAATAGAGGTCTTCATGCCAATTCCAATTTCAGCTATATTTTAAGATAAATTTTATAGTCCATAATGAGGTTTGAACAAATTAAACGTGAAAAGTATATCATGTTAACAAGTTACGAATACATGATCTTACATCGTTTGCATGTAGAAGGAGAAAATGGTATATATGTGATAATGCTATATCTTATTGGTAAAATTCAAATTCAAATCCAAAATTGTGTCTAAACTCGTTTGTCGAGGGTTGGAAGTGACTTTAATTGTCTCTTTTGGGGTACTGTGATTCACGAGTTCTTTAAAAGAGACATTTATTTTGGAAAAGAGGAAGTACATTATATTGTTTGGCAATCTTTTTGCTTCATGTTTTTTTGTAACGCGGAAGCATGTTTGGTAACGTTTGTTCCGATTTAAACAGTATCAAAATATTTCTGAAAAAGTGGCCAAAAGTAGAAGCACAAAATTGGTTTGCTTCCGCACGCTAGCAGCAAAAACATTGTACTGATAAAAAAAAAATGACTTTTTTAATTAGTCATTTTATTTTTCATACATATTTTCATATTTTTGCTTATAAAAATTTTGTAACAAATATATATTATCAAATATTCTGAATAGTATTGAATACACACAAAAACAGAAAACATTACTTTTATTTTAAGTCAAAACAAAATCACAAAGTAAAAACGGTTGTCAAATAAATCCTTACTTGATAATGTGATCTTTTGGAGTTGAAGTTGTAATCAATAATAACTTAATTGGTCCTGGGTGAGAGTTTAGTTTGTGATAACATAAGTTTACGAGAGTTTAGTTTCTAGTAACATAAGTTTACGAGAGTCTAGCTTGTTAAATTTAAAACCTCATTTTAGAAACAAAAAAATAATAATAAAAAAATAAAAATGTCTCTCCAAACAGCACTTGATATGATTGATTGATTTTTTTTTTTAGAAAAAAAAAAAAAAAATAGTCGCGATGTTAACAATCTCATTGTATTTTTAGAGGGAGGGGATAAAAAATGTAACTGATATTCCTATGGGCAAAATGGAGTATTAATAAAGTAGTTTTAAATTGTTCAACTTTAAAAATAAGCATTTGTGTCCCTATGACTATTTGAATTTCCATTTTTTTAATATATAAAAGAACAATGAGATAATATCACTTAATCCTCGATTAAATCAATATACAACCATGTGTGTCTCACGATTCATTATTATTATTATTTTGATAGGTGAGGTGTCTCATAGTTTGTCACGACTGAAGTTGATCAACTTATTAAATTAATATTCAACCATTTGAATTGCTTCCAATTTAGAACTTGAAGAAAGGACAAAAATTACAATGAATAATCATTATGTATTGATTATTAGAGAATTTGTAAGTCATTCAATAAGATCTATATCACCCAATAAATTAAATTAAATTGAACAATTGCATCCTAGCCATCAGTCATACAATACAATGTCCATTATAACAATTTGAATACATGTACTGTAAGACCATATGAACCTTTATCTCTAAACAGAATTGGTGGGTTGAAGAACCATAAGTAAACAATATATATATATATATATTTTGTTTAATTATATATATATATATATTGATTACAAATTAATAATAAATTATCACTATGAAAGGGCAAAGAAAAGAACGAAATATTTATTTGTTTATTGACATGTAGGCCATTTGGATGACAAGATGTAGTGTAGGTGGGACCATCTAGAAACCAGTAATGGAAATCAGATCAGGCCGCTTATGGAATTTGTACTACAAGTTTCAATCCATGTACTACAACTCATTCCGCTGTGGTACTATAAACATGGTTCACATGCGGTATGATCGCGACGTAATGTGCTCATACAAATATCGATATAAATGAATTAAATTAATTAATTTATGAAATTGTGTAATAATATTGAATCTTCTAAAAAGAATTAACCGAAACCGATACAGTACCGTATTTACAAAAAATCAAAATTCTAATCACATTTTTCAAAAATTCAATTGAAGTTTATCATTGTTAACATATTTAATTTTTACTGCTATTTACTTATAGGTGAATTTTATAATATTATGACAACAAAATTCAATATTGATATTAATGAAATTGAATGAAACTGCAAAAAAACGTAATTGGAGAGAATTTGATCTTCTAAAACAGGAGAGGTTGGTGAGACTCATCACTACTCTCAAGTGGGTTCTATGCTGTCCGTCGTCATTATTGATTGGTGCACTGAACTTCTCCTATGAGTTAAAAAAAAAAAAAAAAACAACCCTTCTCCTACGAGTACGTGGAATTTAATTATTTTGGGTCGCTTTTAAAAATAAATTCTTTTTTTATAATCAAGGGTAAACTACATTAAACCTCTTTTTATATTTGTGTTTTTCACTAAACCCTCATTTTTTATTTTTTTATTTATTTTTGGTCAAAAAAACCCCCTCAACTATTAGAGTAGGGTAATTTAACTAATTTCCGTTAACTAACTATTAGGGGGGAGTGATTGAATTCTCAAATATATATATATATATATATATATATTTTTTTTTCAAGAAAAAAAACCTAGATTTATATTGGCAAAAAAAAAAAAAAAAAAAAATTAGGCATTATTTCTGGTAGTGTCCCTTTAATAAATCTATATAAAATAAAAATCAATAAAACCAAATAAATGAATGCATAATATAATTCTCAAATATATATATATATATATATATATAGCAAATAAATTTCAAGAAAAAAAAACCTAGATTTATATTGGAAAAAAAACCATTGCAACAACATGCACTCTTCTTCTTATTCAACTTATTTATTTACCCATCATTATAATATTATATATAATTTGTATCATAATATAATGGTATATATAATATGTATCATTAAATATCATTTCCATCTAGCCTTCAAACAAATATAAATCTAGATTTATTTTTTTTATTTAAGAAAAAAATCTAGGGTTTTTTTTTTTTTTTTCTTGAAATTTATTTGCTATATATATATTTGAGAATTATATTGTGCATTCATTTATTTGGTTTTTATTGATTTTCATTTTATATACATTTATTAAAAGGACACTACTAGAAATAATGGCTAAATTTTTTTTTTCCAATATAAATCTAGGTTTTTTTTTCTTGAAATTTATTTGCTATATATATATATATATATATATATATATATATTTGAGAATTAAATCACCACCCTCTAATAGTTAGTTAATGGAAGTTAGTTAAATCACACTCCCCTCTAATAGTTGATGGGGGTTTTTTGACAAAAAAAAAATAGAAAATGAGGGTTTAGTGAAAAACACAGATAAAAAAGGGGGTTTAATGTATTTAACCCTATAATTAATGGAAGAATTTGCTTTTATTTTTGAATAATAAATTGATTTGCTTATATTGTTTAATATAAAAGTACGTCAGATCACTTTAACATCAATTCTTTGCACTAAGAGTTCCAAATAAATTGATTTGCTGATATTGTTTAATATACAAATAAACATGTATTATTTACTTTTTTCTTTTTCTTTTTCTTTTTTTTTTTTTAAAAAAACAATAATAATCAATTGGATAAAAAAGACTTATTTAAAACATATCCATATATCTTGCTATTGCAATGTTTAATATAAAAAGTGCAATCTTGTAATTTTGATCCAAAACATACCATAAAAGTGCCTCATAATGCGTATAGATTTGGCTCTGCAATTTGGGTTATTGGCTAAAATTGTATAAATTAGTTTTCTTTTTAGTTTTGGGAAAATTGAAATTTGTGAAAGAAATTGTGTCTTAGAATGTATTTATTTTATAGTTGAGATTGATTTGGTAATTCTTCGGCAGGTGGTATAATTATTGTCTAAAAATGAATTAAGTTTTGAAGGCTATATAAAATATAAATAGAGATTGGTTTGGGGAGAGAGAGAGAAGAAATAATTGTGGAAAGAGAAAAAGTAAGTTGTGTTTGTGAGAAGAGAAAAAGTGTGTAATCAAAATTTGAGTTACAGGTCACTTTTTCTCCTGATCGGTGATTAAACTATCTGTAAGTTTTCGCAATCATTCTTAAGGTTACTGTGTTCATTCTTAAAGTTATTGCGTGCGTAATTTCTTCACACCGTTTGTTAAATTGCCCCCAAATTTTCACAGGCATATATATATATATATATATATATTAGGTGTGTGATTTAGTTCCTTGTTTATTTTTAATTTGAATTTTTTTTTTTTCAACTCTTACGCAAACAATAACAATTGAATCCATATACGCAGGTGGCTATGAGTTTAAGATCCCGAAACTGAATTTTAAAATCAACATGTTGAAATATTAGTGAACTCAAATGAAGAAAAACATAGAAATTTGGAATTCATGTTAAGAAATTGAAAAACTGATTTACATTGGAATTGTTCAGTCTTTGATCACACTTAGTTTTTGGTTCTTTTGGATTAATATCCTAATTCTTACTGGTTTGGTTGCGAGAAAATGAGGGAAGGGAGAGGAAACCCTTTGAGGATTAATTTCTGATTTGCCCTTTGAGGAAACCCTTTCATAGTTTCTTATACTTGGTACTTGAATACAGGAAGAAACTTTGACTGCTTATGGAATGAAAATTGGTAGATTATGAGTGTACATTATTTTAGTTAGTTGTTCTGTTATTGAGAAATTTTTACATGGTACCAAATTATATTGTTCCAACCAATTATAACTTATTTATTTGAGTGTCGTATTATGATTGGCCAAGATCATGTAATCCCGGATCATATAATAATTTCTTGTTACTTATGGGTTTCTTAATTTTATTAGAAAAAACAAATTTACCACTAAATGGTACTACCTCCGTCCCTTTTTAATGGTCCATTCTTGATTTTATAACTTTTTAAGGGGACATGCAATTAATGCATTGTCCCTTTTTAAAATTACCAAATTGTCTTTTTTAATTTAAATATATATAATTACAAAGTTTAAAATTTTTTAAATAGATAAAGGATAATGATGGAAATATAAGAAAAAGATACTTGGATTTTTTAAAAAAGATAACTAATTTGGGACATGTAAAAAGAGAAAAATAGATTACTAATGAGGGACGGAGGGAGTAGTAATATAAAAACTACTTGTTTCAATATGGATTTACCAGATTTATACCGGTTAATCATAATATTGATAGAAAATAAAATCATTACTAGGAGATTTAAGGCTGGATTGGGCTTGAGATTTTGTGGAATGAGCTTAGTTTGGTAATTGAATGAGCATGGATCTTGCTCAGACTAGGTCAGCCAAATGGACCAAAATAATTTCCAAAGCCCGCCCAAAAAACAAGCTCAGTTATTGAATGAGCTTAGATCTCATACTTGAAGTTCGGGTCATTGGGTTGGATGCAGATTATCCCGCCCATTTGATATCCAAACTCTTTTATGACCCGCCGAAAATGCGAATTTATGACCCATTAGTTAGATGGAGGAGAATGTTTAGGAATTCATCTTAGAATATATTGGTGCTGATACCATTTTTTTATTAGAAGAGTTTATGTTGATTGAATACGAAAAGAAAGAAAAGACTACTTGTTTTCTGCTTTACTAGGTGGGATATACGAAGAAAAAGAAAAAACTGATTTGGCATTGTTTACCATGAAACTTACAAATAAGTCCATCTATGACCATCTCAAAATCAGTTCAAATACATTCAATTATACCTTTAATTATAATAATGTAAAACCTAGTACACCAAGACCAACTCCGTAAATCAAACTTCACATTTCCATATCATGTCATTTATTTATCGACACAATTCTGAATGAAATTGTTGATTGGAGAGAATTTTGATCTTTTAAAACAAGATATCGAGGTGGATGCACGATGAAACTGAAATCGAAATCGACAGGATAAACTAATTGGGCATTTTTACTGCCAATTGGTTTGATAACACAAGCTATTACTTAAAAAATATGTTCTATTAAAAATTAAATAAAATTTTACTTAAAAAAAGTACTCCTAAAATATATATACACACACATACACGCCAGTGGTTCCCAACTTGGTGTCCAAGCCAATATCACTTTATATTCACAAAAAAGTTAGAAACTTGGATGAGTAGTCTGCTTTTTCGCTGCTTCTAATCTCTCGTGTGTCAATCGGAGCTCACTCACTCTCGATCGGTGATTGAAATCGACAACTATCCGTAAGTTTTCGCAATCGTTCTTACTGTTATTGTGTGCCTAATTTCTTCAATGGCCTCCACATGTTTGATAAATTGCCCCCAAATTTTCACAGGCATGTGTGTGTGTATATATATATATATATATATATTAGGTATGTGTTTCAGTACCTTGTTTATTTTTATTATTATTATTTTTTTTTCAATTTTTATGCAAACAATAGCAATTGAATCCATATGCACAGGTGGGCTGTGTTTAACATCCCGAAACTGAACTTTGAAATCAACATGTTGAAATGTTAATGAACTCAAATGAAGAAAGACAAAAAATTGGAATCCATGTTAAGAAATAGAAAAACTGATTTACATTGGAATTGTTCAGTCTTTGATCACACTTTGTTATTGGTTCTTTTGGGTTAATTTCCTAATTTTTACTGATTTGGTTGCGAGAAAATGAGGGAAGGGAGAGGAAACCCTTTGAGGATTAATTTCTGATTTGCCAATTTTGGGTGCCCATAAAACCCTTTGAGGATTTGCTCACCTAATGCGACCATTTTACATGGTTGGGCTGACTATTTTATTTTTTTCCTTTTTATTTCAAGAAAGCTATGGGCAAAAAAATTGGAAAAGATCAAAATTCTCTTGTCAATTTGTTTCTTAACCATCCAATGACAGGCAAGATAAATTTTACCTAAAAAGTCCTGTCCTGTATTGAGCCGAACTCAACAACCATTAGCTCCGACTCTCGAGGTAGAGTTCTATGCCAATAAAAATCAAACAGAATGGAAATTTTGCCTCCAAATTGTGATACTCCTGTAAGGTTTTTGTTTAATGTGGTTATTATATTCTGATGAAATTATAACGGATTTGGAGGCTGCCTAAATGTGTATGCATAATGCCAACTAATAGAACCATCGTCTGTGCCTGCCTACACTGTAGTTTTCTATTGAAGTGATTGTTTTTTTCCCACGAAAAATTTGGCTACTTTTTATCAGAAATTGAGTTTATTTTTTGCTTGCCGTCCTGTGCTGTGTGAGATTCGAGAAATATTAAACGTTGCATTTCATTTCTCTGAACATATTGAGAACATTGAATCCTCTAAAATGAAGGAGTAAACACTTGGATCATCACAATTAAGATGTTTCGAATTATAATGGGACCGATTTCTTTTTTGCCATCAATTTCCCAATTGATTTAGTTATGGTAATCTTATAGAACATTGGATGAATAGCAATTTTTGTATACAAGGTAATGGTTTCAATGTAGACTACAATGTTCGCTATAATGGGATCTTGTTTTGTAAGTTCTATGTTGTTACATTAGGTCATGAAAAAGGTTGGAAATTTAGGGAAAGTAGGCAAACTATAGATTTATATTTATGTATCCTCTATGTTTGTTTCTTAGCACTTCGAGAGTGACAGTCCCAAGTAGATGGGAAAAAGGCTTGGTTGGTGTTGTTGTTGTACTTCAAGAGTGACAGTCCAACAATCTGTGCACATTCAAACTAACTTCCAAACTCTGGAATCCATACAAAGCTTGACATAGGAATCACCCCCACATTGTAATGATAAACAATATATAAAGTTTAGTCATTTTCTATGTGCACGTATCCTCTTCTCAAAGTCACGGTTTATAAAGTTTATTCATGTCTCTATGCACATATCTTCATATAAAATTTTGGTCTAGTGGTGGTAAATTTTCATCCTTCAGTGGGTTTACTAAAAGTGGCAGGTGGTAGTTAGTAGTTACTCATCATTATGAACCACTAATATATATCATTGGCGATGTTTGTCATATTCTTCGTGTTGGTTCATGTATACCATATTGGTTTCTGGGAGACACCAGTTTAATGCCTGCGGATGCTGAAAAATCATAGTGCTTATGAACATTCTTGTGGTGCTAAAAGTTAACTGAAGCATGATTCACTAATTGTTCCATTGATTTAGCCGCACAAGATTTTCATATCTACTCACTCATACCTTGTGGTTGAACCTTTGCATTCCATCAATGGATTTAAATGCTACTGAGAGTACACTTTAATTACAATGGTGAACAAGAAAATGGTCTAAAAATACAATATATACACACACACACATATATATTATATGGTCAGGAGAGCTGGCTGTGGACAAATATCAGCAGCCAACTATTGAAGTATAATAGCTTTTGAAGCACTGTTAGTTTTTCTTAGCCTCCATATTGATGTTAATTGTTTTGAAATTAAATATATGTTTTGCATCTTTTTCTTATTCCTTCCATAAGATGATGAATTGTCAATGTCTATCTCATTCCTTTCTCTGGATTAATATATTATTATTTTTACCGTGATATTAGATGTCTCGGAGGTACGATAGCCGAACGACGATCTTCTCCCCAGAAGGTCGTCTCTACCAGGTTGAGTATGCAATGGAAGCCATTGGAAACGCAGGGACTGCAATTGGGATATTGTCGAAAGACGGGGTTGTCTTGGTTGGTGAAAAGAAAGTCACTTCTAAACTCCTTCAGACCTCAACATCAACCGAGAAGATGTACAAGATTGATGACCATGTAGCATGTGCTGTGGCAGGAATTATGTCTGATGCCAACATTCTTATTAACACAGCCAGGGTCCAAGCTCAGCGCTATACTTACGCTTACCAAGAACCAATGCCTGTTGAACAGCTAGTTCAATCTCTATGTGACACCAAGCAAGGCTACACACAATTTGGTGGGCTTCGCCCCTTTGGTGTTTCTTTTCTGTTTGCAGGCTGGGATAAAAATTTTGGCTTCCAGCTTTACATGAGTGATCCAAGTGGAAATTATGGTGGTTGGAAGGCTGCAGCAGTTGGAGGAAATAACCAGGCAGCACAATCAATGCTTAAGCAGGACTACAAGGATGACATAACAAGGGAAGATGCAGTGCAGCTTGCACTGAAAGTGCTCAGTAGGACCATGGACAGCACTAATCTTACATCAGATAAGCTTGAACTTGCCGAAATATACCTCTCTGCCGGGAAAGTAAAGTACCAGGTGCACTCGCCTGAGTTCCTGAGTAAGTTGCTAGTGAAGTTTGGATTGAGCCAACCTCCTGCCGAGGATGCTTAGGTGACTGTATTTTGATTGAGATTTGAGTTTCAGTATTTATATGTCTTTTAATGAAATCCTTATCTTTGAAATACTTGCTTTATGTTGAAATATATGTCTTGTTAATGAAATGGATCTCAGTTTTATAAGCTTGGTGAAGTTTGATGAGTATATCTAACTCAGGAATTGCAGTGGAAACAGTTATCCTTTTCATTTTCAGCATTATTTGGTTATTTTTATTTCTGATTGCAATACATTCATGTGGTCGATGCAAAAATACCACTCTTTCAACTTATTTTTTAATTGAAATCTTGTACAACCGACTGTCATGAACCTGTGTGGCACCCTTTGACGTCTCCTATGTGGATGGGAATGACAAAAGAGAGACACCCCGTAGTGGAGGATAGACTATTTTGGGGTTCCACTCAGTTTATTTTGAGCTTGTCACTCGGTTTATTTTTAGCTTTCTACATCGATGATGAATTAGCATTTGCGCAACTTTTCAGGGATGAATGAAGGATATCTATCAGAAGAATGCTTAAAACATTTTCCCCCCTAAACGAGTTTAGTAGTTATGATTTTTCATGCAAGTAGTATACATATGCATTTAGGTTATGTGTATTCATGGACTGTAGTACGGATATACTCGGTTTAAACCTCTGCAGACTACTGCTTTTTTCCTTCTCCTAGCTACGTTGAATCTATCATTTTTCGACTCACGTTGTTTCTGGGATTATGTAATGCAATTGTTGTCAATGCATGGTATTGTGTTAATCCGATGGTTGAATCGCTTTTGCATGTTGCAAGCCTTCTGTTGAATAATGTTGGTCAAATGGTGCACCTAGTTTCAGAGAAATTGAATCTGAACCTTTGCAGCCATGACGGAATGCCTTTTTTCTTTTGTCCTTTAACTGGTGGTACAAGCGGCCCTGTGAAAAATTAGTAAATAGTTATGGATTAAGTCACACAATTTTTCTAAATGGGTGCCGCTTTCACGCTCCTCGCGTGCTTTTGCTCCCTCTCATTATATGAGACTTAGATTTTGCCGCTTTTACGCTTCACTCGCTCTTGCTCCTGCTTCTACTCCATGTGACCTAGGTTATGCATGTTTTCCTTCTTGCTGTAGCAAATAGTACTACTTTGGTAAAAACTTTCCATGATTTTCACCCGTTCTGGACAAGGATCATCTCCATTTGCACTCCATTTGCAAAGTAGTCCATTTCTTTCATTTTTGTAAGTAAAAATGCATCCCAACATTTTCGTAAGGTGTATCACAATATTTTCCTACGGTTCATCCCAACATTTTCTTACTGTGCATCCCAAATATTGGACGTGGCCATTTCTGGACCACTCATTTCAAAATAGAAGAAATGACACACTATTTCACTGGAGGTGATTTTCACCCGTTCTAATATACTCTTAAGACTCCCTTTTCTAGGTTCCATAGTAAAATCAGATTATTTTAAATGTGATGTCAACATTATTTTGTTATATTTGACATTTTTCATTCTATTGTTTGAGGAATGATCAAGAAAATGATTATACAATGATCTTTCTTGGTTTCTTATACTTGGTACCTTGAATACACAAAGAAAATGTAGAAGATAATTTTTTCACCATTTATGGAGTGACATATGGTAGATTACGGATAGAATGCACATTGAAATAATATAATTTTAGTTAGTTGTCATAAAATAATTGTGTTATTGAGAATTTTTTTACATGGTCCTGAACTATATGATTCCGACCAATCACAACTCATTTACTTGTGTGTTGTGTTATAATTGGCTGAGACCATGTAATTCCAGACCATATAATAATTTCTTGTTACTTCTCAGTTACTAATTTTATTAGAAAAAGCACATTTACCACTAAATGTTAGTAATATAAACACTACTTGTGTCATTATGTTTTACCAGATTTATACCGGTTAATCATAATATTGATATAAAATAAAATAATTACAAGGAGATTTCAGGCTGGATTGGGCTTGAAATTTTATGGAATGGGCTTGGTTTGGTAATTGAATGAGCATAGATCTCATACTTAAAGGACCAACACTAATCCATGACACTGTAAAATCAGAAAATGAGTTTCGTCATTAATGTGTTGGGAGGATATTGTGGTTCTCACTTGAATTCCCCAAAAGCTTCGGTAATTGCAATGATTTCAATTTCACATTTGCAAATTTGTAAACACAAAGTAGTTACAGCTAGGGTGGTAATTTATGTCTAAACTCATCAAACGCCACTTGCCCACTAAAATTAAACTATTAGGTGAGTGATTTAAGTGAGTGGGTCAATTAATGGGTAAAAATAGATACTCATTACAAGTCACGGGTCAATTGTGGTTATATCTGAGTTAACCCGATTCTGATTATTGGATTCGATATGAACTCACATGATTGCTCAATACCTGAATTATTTGTGACTTTCCAAAGTTCGGGTCATTGGGTTGGATGCAGATTATCCCGCCCATTTGATTTCCAAACTCATTTATGACCCACCGCAAATGGGTTGTTAGTGGATTTATGACCCATTCATAATCAGCCCATTTATGACCAGCCCGAAACCTGTTCAAACCTATCCAATTGCCACCCCTAGTTATAACAAATATGATAGGTAATGTGGAGCCTAATAGGTACTGTACACCAAGCCAACTCCACAAATTAATAATACTCCACAATTCTTTACACAATCTTGAATGCTCTAGAACTCCACATTCCCATACCATGCCAACGTTCTTCAATGCTTGGGTGTCGTTTACGTCATGTAACCTCCTTGCAATTAGACGGGACGTGACAAGTTCTTAATTTTCTAATTTTTTAAAATCTTGTTGGGCAAATGAGTAGAAAAAGAGAGTTTTTTTTTTTTTTTTTTTGAAAAATTTCTTAAGGTCTTTTGTGAATTTTGAAAATATACAGTGGGGTAAATTTTAAAATTATCAAAAATTATATATACAAAATGCAAACGGTATAAATTTCCAGTGGGGGAACTGCCCCCACTGGGCCTAAGGTGGCTCCCCCATTCACACATGAATAAAACTTCACAAAATAATCAGTTGACAACCTAACATTGTAGACCTCCATCAGTTACCTTTAGAGAGATTCCATATTGACATGGTTTCAGATAGAAGACAACATTTGGTGCAAGTTTTTAGGGGTGCACACGGTTCTGGTTGTCACGGTTCCGGTCGAAACCGAAACTGGAACCGTTCACGACGGTTCTTTGAAAACGGAATCGGAACCGGAACCGTGAAGCATGGAACCGGAACCGGAACCGAACCGTTAAAATATGCAAATTGCAATAGGTATGGAAGCATGGTTATCAAAATCGCGATTCTAAGTTGTAGAATCGCACGATTCTACGACTCAGAACTCAAAATCGATCTAAATTTTAACAAAATCGCTCAATTGGTAGAATCAGGATAGAATCGGTAGAATCGTTGTTAGAATCGTAGAATCGTACGATTCTACACGATCCCAGCGATTCTGAATTACTCCATATTTGTGGTCTTGTTTTGGGTATAAGAAGCCCTAGATTTATTATAGACTTTACGGTTCTTCTCTTTCACGATCGATAAAGCAACTCCGATGAAGAGATAAGATGCCTGAGGAAAAAAAAAAGTTGCTAAGGTTTCGGGTGAAGAAGACGAAGAAGAAGAAGAAGAGGAAGAAGCAGAGGAGGAGGAGAGAGAGGGAACGAGATCAAGAGTTCGAGACTAAGTGACCTTACTTGAGAGAGACGAGAGGAGATGCCGCTTATCTTTGGATGTCGGCTGATTTCCTAGACTCGGACCATACAGATAGACAAAAGATGTATATTGTATACTTGACCTAAAATTTGTAAACTTATCGTATTACCCTTCTTGATATATTTGAGGCACTATGTTATGTAGCAGGGTCTATTATAACTATTATGCAACAAATCATATTTTAACCTGCAAAGGAAAATAAAAAAATTAAAATTTTAAATTATGAATTTAAAAGAAACTGTTTGAATATTTTTATATGAACTTATCCCTTATATAATGTACTTTTATATATATATATATATATTGTGCTTTGGTTTATTCTCTATGTATTTTAAAGATAATTTTTGTTTACAAAGCAGGTTTGAATTATATTTTTATTAGTTTCGTAGAATCTTACGATTCACGATTCGATTCTACGATTCCGATTTTACGAAGATCAAAACGATTCCGCGTAGAATCCCGATTTTCACAACCTTGTATGAAAGTCATCCCATGGAAAAAACACCTTGGAAACATCTCCATCTCTAATGAACTGAGAACTCGATGTTGAGAGGATCTGAAAAACTCTGATTATAGAGAACATGATCACGTAAAACTCTTATGGGCAAAGAACACCAACCAAGAATTTAATAATCTTGGACGAATTTTGGAGGAAAATGCAATGATCTAAGTCCGAATGTCGTCTCTCTCTACTTTTCAACCCAAACTGGAACCAACAATTAAATCCAACAACCAAACCAATACATACAAAACGGTTATAACAGTTTTCAACCCACCTTTAATTCGATGAAATGCTTACTAAACCTTATCTCCCGTGTACCATCTTTGTGATCATTTTTTCACTATTTTCCTTTCTTGTTTGTATTTGAACTGAACACCGTGTGTTTTCCGTATGGACGACGGCATATCGTGAATAAAAAATAAAAAAATAAAACAGGAGAGAATTTAGAAGCAGCAAGGTCAGTCGTGATGGGATTTTGTTCAACTGCCGAAGAGAGACACCCGCCAATATAAATCCTTTCTATAATACATATATATTATAGAAAATTGTCTAAGCCATACGGTCCAGCCAGCCTTATCTTTACTTTTTTTTTTCATTATAAAATTAAATATATAATACATATTATATATATATATATATATATATATATATACGGTTCCGGTTCTTACCTGTTCCCACGGGCTAGAACCGGAACCGGAACCGTATGTACACGGTTCCTAAATTCGGAACCGGAACTGAAACCGGAACCGTGAGAACCGTGAAAAACGGTTCGTGTTCCGGATCCACGGTTCCGGTTCTTTTGTGCACCCTTGCAAGTTTTGTACTATAAGAGAATTGGATAATTTGTGTGAAAAGAAGAGAAATTACCATTTTTTGGACTGTTTTTTATTTTCT